GGTCACTGCTCTTTCGTGCCAGTCGATGATCTTATACATCGTGTACGGCTCATTTAACAGGCACCGAGTTTCGCATAAATTTAACTAAAAGTAGAGGAAAAAAGGGAGCGAGCAGAGTTGAGAGCGTATCGCTAATGATACGTGACGGTAATACCTGTCGGACAGGTTAATTGAAAATAAACGAACGGCGCACATGCATTTTTGATGATAAATAAACTTCATTTCGACTCGGTACGTGATGCTGCTTTGATCTTGGAATTGATGGAAAAAGGAAAAGCTTATTTTCACAGTTTTGAGTGATTTGAAAATTTCAGTGGGAATTTAATCGACTATTTATTGGCGAGATTTTAATTGCCTATTTTGAAAACAAATTTTCCCTCGATATTCATAATTTCAGGAACTATAAATTTCAATTAGTTTTCTTATAAAATTCTATTTGAACTTTCAAATGGGTCCTAATGCATTTTGGACACATCCCTTTCTCAAGGTTTTAATTTCTTCAACTTTGAAACTAATTTCATTCGTGAAAGCTAGCAAAGTGTCTCCTCCCTTAAAGAACTGTGAAGGTAAATGGGGATATGAAGTGGCCAGGACATTTTCTTTTCCGTGATCCTAATTTCTTCTAGCTCTGAGGCTAATTCTATCCATGAACCACTGTGAAATGTCTTCCTTCGGGTCGTTTCTGGGAAGCTGTAAATGTCAGCGTGATATAAAGTGGCCAGTAGGGATTTTTAGATGGTTCTCTGGACTTTGCATACGTTTCCATGCAAACTACCCGTATAATGTAACACACACAGATATTAATTTCGATGAAACTGACCCACATTTTTATAACTGTTTTCGTTTCAAATTTACTTGGCTCCATGGTACATTAATTGTAATTTAAAGAGTTTTAATTCATTTAATTCATAAATAAAAAAATTCTCATAATTCTATTTCTTAAAAAAAGTAATTTTTTTCTCTTTTATTCTCTGTTGGAAACAATAATCATCACTTTTCTATAAACCCCATTACACTGAATGAGCTAAATTGAAGTTATTTAATTCGAGAAACAACGAAATGGTCACTTCGCTTCGTTCTATTATAAGAAGAAAGTTTCTCGAAACGATTCTATCGCGTTTCACCGATAGATGTTCTCCGGAGAGAGCTCTGCGAATCGGTTTCTAAAGAGTTCAGTGCAGTTTGTCTCACGTTGCCGGACATTTCGAAGTGTTCCACTTTTGAAAGGACACTCGAGGAAAAGTTGACTAAATATCGAAGCTCTTCTTCGCAAGTTTTCATCAACCGATAATTAAGTTCGGTTATTTTACGCGAACCCTCTCTTACTCGAACACCCGTTGCCGTCGATCTCGATGCTCGTCTCGAGAGGACATCGAAGTGCTTGAACTCGTCAGATCGATGCCAAACCGCGGAACTGTTTGACGCTCGATCGATTGGAATTAAACGGTTCGAGTGGAAAGAAAAGTCGACTTCGTGCTGCGCCATTACTCGTTATCGTTTCGTTCGATCTTCCTACTCGTTTTCGTGTTAACTCGAAAAAATTCCTCATCGCTATACGGATTTATTTATTAACCGAGCCAGTGACATTAAGCGTAGCTGCATTTTCTCTCGTTTAAATATCCTCCTTTTAGTTTTCCTCCTGTTCGCATAAATTTGCAAGACGTACGTGCTTATGGCCGAGTTCCAGCGTTGTCGAAGGCGCGCAAAAAGCGGGAAGGAAATAAGAAAAAATGGCGGGAAAGAAGTCTAAACGTGGCCGCAACGATTCGTATATCACGAACGGTCGACAATCGAAAGCGATTAAATGTTGTTCCGGCTCCGGTCGTCTTCCATTACGTAAAATTGCGCTATCCATTTTCCGCGACAAACACGACGTTCCCGCGAACAGTTTTGCATTCCGTTAACGAACATCGATGCCTCGGTCCGTTGACGAGAACCGTTCGCGTTTGGAAAATCATCTTTCTCGCGTTTCCACGCGAAGGAACGGGAAGTCGCGCATTCCCGACGGACGATTGTTTTTCAACGACAGAAATTTCTAGGACAATTGTGCTTGGAATTTAACTACCTCTCGTAACGACGGAAGTTTCCCGCTGCTACAAAATGAATTTCAAACTGTCGGACGAGATGCACGGCCGAGTTTCAATAGTTCAAATGTATAGTATCTAGATTCTAGTCGATACGAGCTATGTATATTAACCTGCTTTCATATTAAATTTTCAACAGTCGTTGTGTATTATGAACATTCATAAATGAGCCGTCATTTTCGAGTACTGTTTAACCCTCGAATGGCGGACCCTGGAGAGAGCCTCAATTTTCGTATCATTTCCATTTCCTAAATTTCACCCTGTTTCTTTAAAAATTATGAAAATTATACATTTAACAGCCTTTAACAAACCTGTTACCAACTCTCAGCTTTATCGTTCGTCGAAATTGGAGAATTTTCCCCGGTCGTTTCATTCGTTCGGTCAACTGAATCATGCGGTGGACAAATTGGATCATTCTCCTCTCGTTGACAAGCAAATGTACACGCATCGCGTGATACGTGTATGAAAACGTATCCACCAGTGGCCGCTATTATTTTCCCGTGGGCGATCATCAATCTTAATAGAGAGGTAGCGAGGATCTCATTACTCACATTGTAACGGACGCGTTGATTACCCATGTAACCATTGCTCGGACACTCATCCATCTTTTATCCGCTTCGTATCGCGAACGGATAACTCATCCGGACTTGACGCTCGCGTCGATCACGGTGGGCAGGATTAAAAAATTCCCGGGAATCGATCTTGTCGTCGTTGATTCCGTGACAGTGTATTCCGGTCGTAGCCGATCCTCCCGTGAGGACGACTATCTTAAAGAGGCATCTAGAACGGTGACGAGGCGGGTAAAGTGGCGTAAGGAAGAACCATGGAGATAGAAGGTAGGACAGGGATGAGATGGAAAAGAAATAAGAGACGTTGCTCGGCTTACGTTCGAGCCTGTTGAGAATAGAGATCCCCGATGATGGTATTAAGTTAAACGAGAGGACGAAATCTAGATCGGTACGAGAGGAAAAATGAAAGGGAAGATGAGAGAACCTGCGGTGCTGGAGCAGGTGCAAGCATGGAAACTGGTTCGTTCTTTCGCGAACTCGTATCGATTCCTTATCATTCGCGATGCAAAACTTTATATGCTTCTTGTTCCCGGGTATCGAGCCCGGAAATAAGCTCGACCGTCCGGGCTTACGATGGTGGATTACCCACACCGTGTCCGACGAGTTCGTGAAAGTTGGCAGGCGCGAGGAAAAGCTTCGATTGCCCTCGGGAATCCTCGAATCACGTTCCTAGGGAATGCAGGTTTACGAGGGTGCCGTAAAGCCGAATGATTTCGTTGCGTGCTGTTTAGTCTCGCTGGCTGTTTATCAGCTAGATTTCCGCGTAAAAGCGCCGCGAAGTTCGTCTTCAACCTTCGATATTTTCCTACGCGAAAACCGATGTTGAATAAAGGAAGAACGATACAGCTTTTAGACCGGACATTCGCGCACACCCGTGGTAGATATTACTTAAACGAGAACCCTGTCGCAAAGTGGACGTACATTTTTAAAGAAACGCAACCCTCCAACGTTGTAACTACCGACTGGGTGTTACTTGTTCAAAGAGAATACCTTGGAACGAATAGCGAGCGTGTCATAGCTTCGAGCCTGCTGAAATAAGAGGCTAACCCAAACGTGCCGAACCACGAAATTCCTGTAACAGTCGGCCGAGACTCGCAGACACGAGACTCTCGGATTGTTCAACGGCTCGTTATCGCCGCAAGAAACACGTCGCCAGACAGAGACGATCGCTATTGTGTGTTAAACGCGCTTTGCTAGTCCACTGTGTGGTTTCGACGGCTGTGATTGCAGAAACACAATGCTGGTGCATCTGTAAAGGCTAGATTTACGGTGTAACGAGCCGTGTTTGGGTGACGGGATTTAAGGTGCTGTGGTTAGACGAACTGTGGCGTTCGAAGGGTGAAAAGTATTTCTCATGGTTTTGCGGTGGTATTAATTGCACCGAGAGGACATTCTAAAGACTCGCACCTTGCAATTTATTACCTAGGCATTTATGTGCATATTCAATTAAAAAAAGAAAAATTTCTCCAAGTTTGAAATTCCGAAATTTCAGAATAATAAATCTAAAGCTTAGATAAAGCACTTCACATTCGAGAGTGCAGGAATTTTCAATACAGGTAAAGAAATTTTACAAATCATAAAGTAACTCTTCGTAGAACATTTTTCACGCCATAACAGACGGCTGATGTCGAACGTGTTTCTGTCCTATTTGTTCGTTTCATTGTTCCATGTCGAAGAGAATTCGACGGAAGCTAGTGAACGCGATGGTCGCGACTCCCCTAAGAAGCGAGGCAGCTGGAACGACCGGCATAAAAGAGACTTTCCGCTAAATTATGCAAGTCGACATGAAAAATTCCCGCGATGAGCGGGAGTCCAGGTTCCAGCGGGCGTATAAGGTGATTCGCATTATCGTGCATGTTGGATGAAGGGAAGAGAGCAAGAAGCTGGTTGCGATATGAAATTTTGATCAGAAATACAGGGTAGCTGAGTGTAGGTCCGGAATCGGAAGTTATTCCGCGTCTCCCGTGGGAGTGCCGCGAATAAACGCGCGCGAACAGCCTTGCGGAAACGTTAGACCTGTAGTAATCAGCTGTTTGGTCTGATTTTTCTATTTCTATCCATTCTTGTTTGTTCCTCTGACGAAATAGGAATTTTCATTCCGTTGAAAATTGATTGCTTATTTAATTAGAAATTGAATCACTGACAAGACTTTTAATGACGCTTGTAACGACCTCGATGTGTTCATTTTCGAGAAGTTAAAAGTGGCTCTCGAATCATTCGCAGGGAAACCCTTTCGTCGAGACCTTTTAATGCCAGAAATCAGCTAGAACGTCTGCTACTCGCGGAATACTCGCGGGAAACGAGTATATCGCGAACACGAATACATGTCTTGCCTTCTCTGTTTCAGGCCGTTGCTGAAGCAGATAAAGAACTCGGCCGAGTCGCACATTGTACTGGATTGCTCCACCGAGAGGATTTACGACGTGTTGAAGCAGGCGCAGCAAATAGGGATGATGAGCGACTATCACAGTTACCTTATCACCTCTCTGGTGAGTCCTTTAATTAAATACAGATGTAATCAATGATTGTGTATGAATCGCGTCAACTTTTACCGATGGATCGTTCATCGCTTATCGGATACCATTTTTCTTGGTTGATGTTCATTTTCATTTTTGACGAATTTATTGCAAATTCATTGCAAATGAGTTAAAACGAAAAAGGCACGAGCTGCTTTCATTGCAGTGATTACCATAGTAGTTTAATTTTTAAATGATTTGCTTTTCAATTTTAATCTCTTTTTGCTTAACAATTTATGCTCCACATATGTGAGCTTTTCTGTATTAAATTAAATTAACAAAATTGAGAATGAAAAGCAATACGAAATTGAACTTGGGATCTAAATTATACTTTGGGTCAGCTAAGATCCGTTTCAATTACCTAAAGGTCCATTCTGAACCTTGCAAATGGAGAGTTAGGTGTATCTCTTAACGGTGCAGTTAGAAGCTAAAACGCGGAGGCATCGAAGATAGGGGAGTGTATTTACTGGAAACGGAGTGTCTCGTTTCCTCGTCGATTTCCTCGATCACGTTTCTGCATTAATGTACGTAAGAGACCGGTACCCTTTGTAGTTGTTCGCGTAAAGAGAATATCCCGGAGCTTCGAGCAGTCTGCACGGATTTCAGTGATTCGAATCTAGAGAAAGGAACGGCTAGGTGGCGGGTTGAAAGGGGTGAAATCGTCGTACGTGTTGTCCCAGAATGGCTGGAGGCGCGATCGTTGTAATATCCCCGATCGTCTCTCCGGTATTCTTTCTTTCTCAACTTTTCTCCTTGCGGCGCGCATAGAGCCAAGGAATAAAGTTCTCCAAAGATGGATGCATCGAATCGACGTATCGTGTTTCCTTATTTTGCATCAGGGAAACTAGGCGCGAAGAGATAAGAGATTCGTGCTTTTATTTTCGTAAAATGAATATCATTCTATTTCCTAATATTATGCTGTTATAAATTTTAAAAAGGTGAAGGACGATCAAATGAAGATCATCTATCCGGTATCATCAAACCATAATGAAGTCATTAATTTCAAACATGGACGTGTTCAAGCGTCAGCGTTTCCCGATTTTAATCGTTCTGCCAGTTACGCGAAAATCGTAAAAACATCGTCGATATCGGTGTCGTGAACGCGGCTATTACGGTGATTAATCGACAGGAACGAGCTGGCTCGCTTATCTAATTGTATCCCATCTTCTCTTAACCGTCCGGTTATCGAGCGGCATTAACCTCCATTAAATCGAATAAACTCGGCCTGAAATACGCTCGACGATCGAAATCGAGCATTCGCATGCTTCAGCTGCGACGTGGAGCAGGAGTTTCAGCGACGATTTCCTCTTCCGCGGCGTCGTGGTCGCACTTAGTCGAGCGGGAAATCATAGGTTGCGCAGGGGAAAAACGGTGGCGCAGATTGTTCTCTGGCTTGTAATTATAAATTACTCGTAATACGGCAGCAATTTGTAGCTCCCTCGTTCATGGACTGCCTTGCAATTATTCGGTGAACGTTGGATGGTGGGAAATGATTTGTGCAGCGATCAAAAATGAGGGATAAAACCTAGCTGAGTCGAGATGGTTCTACGAAAATTATTCTTGGCTAATCGGTCTGAGCAGTTCGTTCTACTGCTCTTGGATCGGTGTAATTGGAAAATTTGTTCGCCTCTGGTTATGCTATTTTTCAAGTCTCAAGATTTATCAGATCTATCCAACAAATAATGTTGCTCTTGCTTTGAGGCGAACGGAGGAGCATAGCAGGTTATTTGTAAGTGTAGAATTATTCTGATGGGTCCGAGAGATTGTTCACTTTCTTCTTTGTATAGAATGTTGATTACTTTTTCCTTTGTTTTTGATTGAGCTTGTGAAATACTACAACGATTTATGAGATGGGGTTGTTACTTTTTTTATTTTTAATGGGGGTTGTGATTGAGTTGTTACTTGAATATTTCAAGAAAATATTTTGGATCATCTTGGATAAAATTACGGCGGAAATAATAATAATATATTTAATAGTATTAGAGATCGAAAAGACAGACAATCGCTAATAATTGATAAATGAAACATCGATATTCGAGTTTCAAAGATTCAATTACAAGGGATAAAGTTAAGTAGTTTATATTTATTTCAGATCTTACTTTTCGAGTTCTATAAAATTAATAAGTACTCTCACGTAATCTGAGAATAATTATGAAAATACGATAAATATTAAAAGTGACATAGTTTCATCTAGAATTTACCGGGTATTTTCCAAGTCAGTGAGAAACATCTCGCTTACTTTTATTTAATCCCCCGTGAAAAACGTCCAGAGAGAAGAGATTTTCTATACTTTCCCGGTAGTTCACGGGAGAAGCTGTCTCAGGATAATTAGCAATTTATCGTTGTCCACGGTTTAGCCGGCTCCTTCGGAGCATCGTTGACCCGGCTAGGTAATCGTGATGTACATAAGTTGCAAGCAGAGTTGCAGAGCCGAAGGAATTGGAAAGTTGTGTTTACCCGAGATGTCGCCGGTTTTATGGCTTTAATTGCAATTAACGTCGCGTAAATATCTCGCCTCGTTTCATTCCGCTTGGTCGCCGTTAATTTTAAGAAGTATGGTGGTTGTGCCATGAAAGAGAAATTTAGAAAGGCAAGTGAATCTTTCGGTATATTTTTCACGGTTATCCTTTTGGGATAATTGGAATCGGTACATTGTAATTTAAAACTATGCTTCAAGACTAAACTATAGAAACTCGGACAATTACACGGTAAATCATGTAGAAAAGCTCCTGCATGAAACGCTTATCTTTTCAAGGTAAATCCTCAAAGCAATCTCAAAGGAAATTAGCAATTTACAATTTACACAGCGGAACATGGCTCGCCAGTCGGCAATAAGTGATAAAAGGTAAATAGCTCGTGTAACCCTGACGCGATTTATCTCGGCTGCGTTTACCAGATTTCAATTTAGATCCATTAAAATGTAAATTAGACGCGGTATTTGTTCAGACATTGGATCGTAGATGTGCGTTCTTCCTAGTCATTTGTGCCCTGGGGCTAGTTTGCTCTTGGACAGGGTTAAATATTTGTCGTTTTAGCAACAATCCTGCTGGTCACTTATTTTTAATCTCCGGTTTCAACATGATTGCGATGTTTATCTTACAATCTCAATGAAACGGATCCAGCTTAGGCAATCATAGTACACTGTTCCATTCATAAGTTATAAATGATACAACTTTGAATTTAGTCTTCGGAAGTTTGGGAACATTTTTGGTAGGCTGATAGGGATTCGGGGCTTAATTAATTAAAATTAGGGCCAGTCATATCATTAATCTCCCGGTAAAAATTTAAGTCCCAATCCGCCCCAGAACAGTAATATTATGCAAAATAGCAAACTGGGTGCTTGAATTTGAAAATTAGTAATTTGCATCATTAGTATTATAATTAGGGTTCTAATTTTCCATCAACGTGACTAGGTCAATCGTAACTCAAATCTGTAAACCGTATACAGCCTGTAATTGTTAAAGCTTCTGTAATTTGGACTTCTGATATAAATCAAAATTACAACTCCATTATTTAATAGCATTTCAATGGTCAATAGAGTAATGAAGTGGAACGCGTTAAATCGTTTGAATAAAATTCGACCAATCTTGAAGATAATTGCCACGATAATATATTATATTCTTCTAAAGAATGAACTTGGCAGGTGATTTAAAGCTTATAAAGAATCTGCATGATATTAAGAAGAGGATATTCCACGTATTTGAAGAATAAACGGGATAAGGAATTAATTATGACGAATGTCGTGTAATTCCAACGCCATTTAAACAGAGTCCGAATGGAATATTGTCTACACCGTGTGGACGACGTGTTTGAAAGCTATTTATTTTCATTTATATCGTTTATCCGGCTATCCAACCAGGGAATCCCGCTTCATCCATCAAGTTGATCTCATTAAGAAGGCGATCAGAAAAGTTTGCTGACGTTCGCTTAATGACAAACGGAATTAATGGAATTCTATTTGTTAAGAATTTAATTGTCCAGTCAGGGGCTGATCGATCAAGAAAAATGATACAAAAAGATCAATTAAAATGAAGAAAACATTCATTAATTTTACAATTAACTTTAAATAGATTTATTAGACTTTGACGTCTTAGACAACGTACTTAAAATGTTAATATAGAACAACTTTGTTCTGATCAATAACGAAGTTATTATCATTTCTATGGTCACTGAATTTTAGCGCATTCAGCCTCGACGTTCAGATAAAAATTTCGCGCGAAGATTTACGCGGCAGTTAATTCGACCAGAGGATTCTCGAGCGGGAAAAAACAACGTCCAGTTCGCCATTTACAGAATTTATTAAAGCAATTTTTCCCCGGCTGCCAACGCAATATTTTCGGGAACACGTTTCGATGAGGATCAAGCTTGAACGTCGATTCGAACGAACGAATTACGTCGAATGTTTTGTTGGCACTCATTCAACACGCTTCAAAAGTCTTTCAATATTTTCTGTTCAAGACAAGGGCGTGCTATTTTTGAGAATTCAAATAACGAAATCTTATTATAGAACGCAGGAAAAATGTCGTTTGCTGAATCTTTCTTCAGACGTCAGAGATTCCTTCGTTTATTTCTGCATTCAAAGCGCGTGTCTCATATTTTTATTCGACCTCTGAGGATGTTTTGTCGCGGTGAAACAAGTGAGAATTACGTATGTGGAGCTCGTAGAAGAACGTAAATCTCGGAAAATGATAGCTATTGATCTGTGCTTGACTCCGTAGTCATATCTGCCTGGTACTTTTCATACGAGTAGAAGTTCTCCCAAAAGGGATGTACCCTTTGGTTTATCTAACTTGTGCAGCTTGTACTAGTTTGGTGTCTGACGTTTGAGATTGTTAAATGTATTTTGGAAACATAAATTGAGAAAGAATACAATTTTTCGTAGAGAAAATGATAGTTTTTTAGCTCTCAAAATAATAGAAAGGGTGAATTTTAAGCAGTCTTTTACATTTCAATTTAATTCCAACACTTTCAATTTACACTTGAATAGTGTAAAATTTATAAAATGAAAAGAATATAAAATACAAAATTAAATTAAAATTGGGATTTTCTCGGCGGTTTGCCGTCCAGGGGTTAAAGATATTAGTCGTCAGGTCTTCAGACGACACTTAATGCAAATGTCATTTGAGATACTAATGATATAGCCAAGTATTCGACCTAATGAACTCTTGAAACTTCGGAAAAAAGGATAAAAGGGAAGGAAACATCGTAAACGGGTAAATAAACTCGAGTGGTTATAAGAAGCCGTAGCTCGTAGCATAACGTTACGCCTACTAAACGCTGGTAATAAGAAGCTTAATGGCAACGGTGGCTATAACGACGATAACAATCATCATAACCATAGCGAGCATAATAACCGTAATGACCAGCAGGATACGATAATACGTCGGCGTCGCAGGATCCTAGGACACGTCGAAATTTGTGGCCCCGAAATACGAGCGTGTCCATGTGCTGCCATAATTTCGCGTCTCTGAATCAGTGTTCCATGAAGCGAGGTTAATTTAGCGAAAGCTAATTCGTCGATGCTTGACGTTTGGTCAAGAGTAACCCTTTGATATATCGTACGAAGCACTTGTAAAGACTTGAATTTGAAAATTATCGCACTTTAAATTAAAGAAAAAATAGTAGAAATGATTTTCCTTTTAACAAATCATCCTCCCATACGAGAAGCTTTCCCGTGTCTCTGGGAGGTCGGTGAAAAATTATTCAAATTCGCAGAATTTTATCGAATATTGCTGAAAGAAGGTCGCGCGAAAGGAATATCGTGTAAGGGTAAAGGATGAACGAACATCCTGAGGCGAGGCGATGATCGATCACCAGGTATTCGATCGATCCGGCCTGGTGTTGTATCGCGGTGCTCGTGAATCGGACAAGTCGCGGGGACGGTAGATCGAAACCGGTAAACTTATCTATCTTGGCCAGAACGCAGAGACAAAGGGATAATAAATGGCCGCGACGGGCTGCTTGAGCATTCGAAAAGGTGGACGGAGTTGCGCTTTGAGGCTGGTTGACTTTAAATCACGCCGGCTGCCACCATGATGTAGATAGCATGCTAGAGAAGCTGCTCCATTCTATTCCCAAGATATCTCTATTTCTGCTGATAGCCGCACCGTGACCAGACGACTAATATCTGTCCGTGTGAATTAATTTTTTAACCAGCTCGAGTATCCATTCAAACATGAGTTATTTTAAAAGTATTCCGTTATTGATATTCGACTCGATTAATTTGCACGATCACTAATAATTTTGAACGAATGAATTTTCAATTGAATAAACATTTTAAATAAAATCGTGAAAGGGAATAAAATTTCACAAACTCGCGTTTTATTTATCAATTTATTTTATGTATCACTTTCGATGGATCGACAGATTGTACAATGTCATTTCTCGCGTTGCAATATCGAAGAGTATCATTGAACGTGGATCCTGTTATATTCACTCGTCTTCGATTGTCGACGTCGATAATTCGGGGTATTGGAAATGTGACAATTTTTTCCGGCTCCCCGGGTGGAACGATTCTATAAATCTCACTATGGGTAAACGTTGCCGAAGCCGATATTAAACATTTCTGGCGTGCACGCAATAAAATTCTCTGGTGGCTTGGCGGCATACAAAAAGCTCGGCTATCGGTTCGAGGAATTCATAAAGTGAACCAAATTCCTCCTTGCAGGACCTGCACAGCGTCGATTTGGAGGAATTCAAGCACGGCGGGACCAATATCACTGCCTTTCGATTAGTGGACCCGGAGAAGCCGGAAATTCAAAAGGTCGTGCAAGATTGGATCTACGGCGAGAAACGTTATAACCGGGAGCTCGATATGGGACAAAGCTCCAACAAGGTACGACAAAATATATATCATCTAATATGTTACTAATTGGGTCGCCTTACTATTAATAACCAACAGGGTGTTTAAATAAAATTTCCATATATTTTCTTTTTCAAAGTAAAATAATTTATTTATTTATTTACTGTTAGAAAGGGAATAGCCCTTTTTGTTATAAATACAAAGGTTCATTAAAATGGATACAAAAATTACTTAAGTTAATTGCAAGATATTTTCTTGCCAAAGCATGTGTTGAGGTAAATTAATTATTTTCCAACTTTATAGCCATCAATTATACTGTTTTTTGACGAACCGATCGCTAATGAAACGCTTATCCTGAACTAAATTATTATTATTCATAAACTTGACTATTAGCTCCAGTGTGATAGAAATTAATTGAATCAGTAACGCAATCAATTAAATTATGGAATAATTGTCAAGGAATGATCCGGTTACGTTTTATCAACAGCATTAGAATCTAAATTTGACTCTATTAGCATTAATTAGAGGCATTGAATGGCCTCTAATTAATAGGTATTTCCTGCTGCTATTATTATGCAAGTATGAGAAAAGTAGTGCGATTCAAAGAAATATGAAAAACTAATTCAGGAAAATGGTTATTTTATTCTCTATTAATAGAAAATTATTCTATGTTGAGAGTCTGATAATGTGTGACACTTGAATTTCCTAATTAGTTTCATCTAATTAGAAATACTCGTATCAGATATAATGAAATAATAAGATAAAGAAGTATAAAGTTTTTTCACTTACGAATGAGAAAACTACATTACTTACGAGGAGATCTAATACAGAAAAGACGATAACACTTGCTGACAGTTCTCGAGGAATAAACGCGGCAACGCGTTCCCGCTCGTTGCTGGTGAAACGATTAAATTCCGCTCGGCGAACAGCTGGGAAACGATTGTTTGTTTTCGCGGGCGTGTTCGTGGAACGAAGTCACGTTATACGGTGAAATTCGCTCGTTTCACCGTGCACGCGTGCGAACTTAATTAGCACAACGAAGGATTTTAACAGTTACAGTCTTGCGGTGTCGATGTAATTTTCTCGTTGAACGAGCTCGCTCGAACACATCAGGTCGGCCTGTATGCATGCAAATTGCGAACATTGTTCAAACGGAACACACTAGCCGTTTAAAAGCATCTTGCCTCCTCTAATAACATTCTAATTTTACATTCTTCGCGCAAGCCTCTCCTGACAGCCGCATCGATCTCCTTCCCGGTGTTTGGATCGAGCTATCAATTCGTGTTCCACGCGGGATCGCGAGCCGAGTAACTTGGAACAATGCACAATAATTGGGTATTATCTATTCAAAAGTTGACTAGCGCCATGGAAAATTCAATTTTCCCCGACAGGTGTCGAAGCTCGTAAGAATGCAAATACTACAGAGGCGAAAAATGTTGTACAATTTCTGGCTCTTGTCGATGCTGGAATTTTCGATAATGGATAGTGAAGAGCCTTCTGTTAAGTTTGACGCTCGCAAACACTTCGAATATTCGAATTATCCAAATTCCTTCGATATCTTAATACTCTGATGTTCAGAATGCAACGAAATACATAAAATATCTGAAATTCGAATGCTCGGAATATTAAAATGAACCAAATTATCCAAATTATTTGAAATTGAAATCCATATTCTATAGCCATTAGAATATTCGAATATTCAACAATTCTAATTGAAAGCAAGTGGAAAAAACACGAATGCATAATAGGGATGCAAGTGGATGCGCATCTGCATACAGAGATAACGCGTATCACGTGGCACGATGTCATTTCGTTGGTTGGTTTATGTGTGATGGAACGAGAAACACGCTTGGGAAGTAGGTCAAATTGCGTGGGTAGTTACCCTGATGAAATTCTCGCGATCAATCGAACGCTACCCTTCTATTAGAAATTCGAATCAATTTAACCTCTCAATTTTGTCGTATTTACAACTCCATCGAAATCTGTCAACGAAACACGGCCTGTTAATAGAATATTAAAGAGTTGTCCACATTAATTAGTTCAATCAATTATTTTTTTAATTTTCTCATTTGATCAATGAAATACATTACCCAAAACTAAATTATTTATTTCTCTACGTAGAATCTTTTCGATACTTAATTTCTTGAACCTGGGTTCCAACCCCTTATCGCAATCTTGAACCCTTCTTTGATGTTAGAAATTTCCCCGGTTCGTTATGCTTCATCTTAGTCGACCAAATTTTTGTCCAACTCGATTTTTCCTCGAGTATCAACGTTCCAGCGCAATTCAAACAAGTTCACAGCAACTGAAGTTACGTTCCTAATTGGTAGTTCTTGGAGCGGCATAGCGTGAGCAAATTATATCGTTGCGAACATCTGGCAGGGCATCAACCGCGGAAAAGTTGAGTAGCGAATCTGTACGTTCGGCCATCTCCCGGGAAGAAACATCTGCCGCATCCGACACCAGCTTTCAGCCCTTTAAAAGCTTAAATTGCATCGACCTCCCCCGCACCTACGGGCCAACTTCCTGGATACTTTTTTCGGGAAACATCTTAGACAAACTCAAGTTGCATATGCATAATTTTTAGATAATCCTTGCATTATCCCTCTGAATATTAAGGTAGAAATTATTCCTCTGGGAAGAAAATAGATTCCCTTTGGATGAGTTCAGGTCGATAGAGAGCCGGGGAAAATAAGATCATAGGCTCACCTATGAAAACACAAACAATTGAAGCAGATCAACCAAGAGGGGTTAAATAATGGAGGCTCAGCCTGGCGGAAGGCACCCCAAGGCGTTCTAAGGTTGCCGAGCTTTATATCTCTTTACCTTCGGCCTCTCTACCTTTCCTATACCTCCATTCATTTCTTTTCCCGAAGAAGGCACGCTTGTTTGATCCCTGACCCGTTCATAACGCGAAGGAAACGACTCTGCGGAAACCGCGCGACGCTCGATGCGCTTCAAGATGCGCTTTCCTTCGGGACTTCGTTAAATTCGGTCTCAACCCTCTGGTCATTTAGATTTTCGGAGATAAAATTTTGACGAGCGAAAATCATTGAAAATCCTGAAGAGATATACGTCAGAATATTTCATAATTAATCTTTGAGAATATTAATAAGTATCTCTTACCATTTTACCGGATGTTTCGAATCATCTTATCATTCGATCTAAATATTCACCGAGGTTTTAATTTATAAAAGTCAGGATTATTTAAAGTCGAGCTCGCAGTAGTTTCATGACCCCAAGTTGATTTATTCATTGAACTCCCGAAGAAGTTGAAGAGGACAGTGCGCTCTTTAGCTAACAAAGAACCAGCCACGCTGAAACTATGCCAGTAAATTTGTATTCTCTCGTCGTGCAATTAATCCGATTTATTTCTCGAAAGCAGCCCTCTGTATCCGTCGGGCGAAGAAATTTGTGCGTTCCCTCCGAAAAAAAAGTTGCTCCAATTCGTAACGAAGCTTCAGAAAGGATGGTTCGACGAATACGAAATCGCATTTATTGTCTCTCGGTTCAATTACACGGCAACAGAAAGTCGTTAGTCGTCGAATAGAGAAGGGAAAAAAGAAGATTCACGATGCGAACGAACTGCGAGCATTAACGATTCCATACGAGTCGCCAGCTAGGCGAGCGGCAACGAGTATGTAAATACGCGTGCACATGGATGCTGGAAAATTGAGCGGATGTGAGTAAATGATGGTACGTGACCGATCTTAGCTCGGTTCCAAAGAGAAGAGGATCTTGTAACGCGACTAGAAGCGGGGCGGGTCTTGCTTGGCAACCAGTTCGGAAGCTGAACGAGGAAAGGACGATTTGATCCCTTTCCGACTAGAGGAACATCGTACTTCGATCAGGATCGTCCTTTTAACAGTTCGCAATCGATGGAAAGCCATACCTCGAGATAGACACCGTATTCGTTGGAAATTTATTAGAGAGGAACCATGGAACAGAAAGCAGAGGGACGTGGGACCACGAATTCCCTCTGAATTTTCCCGATAAAATCGAAATGAAAGTTGACTTTCTAGAAATGACAGTTGCGTTATTCGCGAAGGTGAAATTCAGCTGGGTCGAATTCGAAAATAACTGGATGGGTGTAGATTTCGGGGGTTGTTTTCGAGATGGGTTGAGATAATTTATTATCGCGGTGAATATCAATATTACAAATTTAATATAATTCAATGATTAGAAAAAATTAATATTATATTAAGGGGTAATATTTTACTTGCAATTAGTTTTAATATTTTATTTCCAACTCATTTCTTTTGAAAATTATTTAACCCTCGGACCATGGAGAGAGCTTCAATGCTTTCTAAGTAGAGCATTAATTTTTAACAATTTATTTCTGATCGCGTGACGATGAAACTCTCATCATCGTCGACGATTTGTTAAAACGTGACATACTGCAGCTGTAACGTGATGGTTTCTTTTTATTTTGAACGAAATAAGTGAAACTACCAACTAGTTTTCTACGAGAAACTGCTTCGTGGATGGATTTACGACGTGTACTCTGCAATTTTAACGTAATTGCGAAATTAAAGGCTGTGTGGTAAGAGTATCAGGCGGATTAAACTTATACAGGATACACGGTAAACACGAGAAAGCGAATTTGAAGATTTTTAATGATATAAAATAGAGTAAGAGTATTTTTCGTTTTTGAAAAATAAATAAAGTTACAAAATTATTTACATTTAGGAGCTTTCCATTTTTAAATTAAAGTAGAAAATATTCTTCAATATCTTCCACTATAATTTTCATTATTATTACAGATTTTTATTAAATAATAACTAATGTTTGTTTCATGCACTTGAACAGAACAACCTCACCTGCATAAAGGTAAGGTTTCATGTAATATTATTGAAAATTGCATGTTACATGATTCCATTTTGCAATCCTCTAGAAGAGTACTTTTGTTGTTCTCTTTCGCATGTTAAATTTTAAATAAGAAACAGGATACTTTAAAATTAATCATCCAAATGCTTATTCAGTATCTTCGTACAATTTCCTTTAATAAATTCTCGAATTAACAATTAAGCAATTTCTATAAAATTTCTGAACGTCGAACCAAGAAATGCAAAACAAACGAAGTAATGCAAAAATGAATAATAACTTGAAAATCAGATTGTAGTGAAACTCGTCAAATGAAATAAATTCAAGCGAATCTGCTGGAGTCTCTGGAGAAGATTTGCACTTTAACTAGCTCTTTTAATCCCGCGAGAAGATTTAGTCGAGCAATCTCGCTGCGTTTACGAGAGGCTACATAATTAATCAGAGTACTTTGAAATTCGCCGTCTGTAAACTATTAATAAGATGGAAATAACGAAGATGCTGAAAAAGCAAGCTACGATTCCACGGTGATCCCATTTTATTAGAATTAGATCCTTTCGAACGAATTCGTAGAAAATTTCAGCGTACCATTTATCGTTCCTCGAACCCTATAATTTTCCTGCCAATAATCAAACGAGTAATCTCGTCGGATACGTTCGTGTAATTAATCAAAGTTCGTACAAATGGTACTTTGATGAAAAATTGGCCATGTTATTTGCAGTCGAAAGAAAATTAGAATTGGTAAAATAACGATTCCATAAAAATCACAGTGTTAATTTTACTGCACAGCAATTTCGACACGTTTAAACGATCGAGTCGAAAGCACGAACGATTTTCTGGGATAAACAAGCCTCGAATTTTGTACTATAAAATCCTGTAAGGATATTGGTTGTCCCAAATACGCTGGAGGCAGCGATATTCGCGAAATACAAATTCCTCGCCAACAGAAGGCGTCAATTTGCCATGAAATCGTGTAAGTGTGGGTGGGTCCTTCGTTCCTTTGGTCGACGGGAACGAGTTCGACCAGAGCAAAAATCGTTCGATCAAATCGCCCGATACGATTCCCCTTTACTGCCGAGAATTTCCGCCATACCGTTCTTTTATAAACGAACGATTTCTCCGGAATCGATTCGTCGAAACGTGGTCGTGACCGCTTCGCCAATTCGTTCGACACAAATTCCTCGATCACCGTGCGGGTCTATTTAACGCGAAACTAAAACGTTACGATTCTACTTTTCAGACTGAAACCTCGCTGATGTACGACGCTGTGCACCTGTTCGCGAAAGCTCTCCACGATTTGGACACGTCCCAGCAGATCGACATTAAACCGCTGTCCTGCGAATCCACCGACACCTGGCCGCACGGATATTCCCTCATAAACTACATGAAAATCGTGAGTACCCATATCCGTACGATTTATGGTGTCGTAAGTTATACAAGAAAAGTTTCAATGTAGTTATTGAAATTTCAAGAGACGAATAAAATAGAAAATTTTTATAAATTTCATCAAAATTTTCTCGTATCATTATAAATGGAGAAGACATACAATTAAGTGATCTGTTTCAAAAAGAAAAATATTTTAATTTTAAAATAGCGATCTTCTATTTTGACTCAGCCTGTAGAAAATAAAATGGAAAAATGGGGCGATCGTGGGGCATGCAAAGCAGGGTAGTAGTGGCGCATACAAGTAGCCTAATTGCACGTCCGGGTAATTGGATGTCTGTTGGGCGCAAATGGGTGTAAAGCGAGGATCGTGATGGCAAAAACGTCGCGTAACCGATGCAACAATGATCCCCTGGACCGTTATCGATAGATATCTTCCATCCGGTTGCGGTTCTCCTATCTCTGCGGCCATGGTAGCAGCGTTGGGTGATGGTTTATCGAGGATGTATCGCGCGAAGATCGATAGAGGGGGAATTCATTTTGTGAAATTACGAGCATCGATCGGCCGTCTGGGCAACGTAATAAGCCATTATAACGATATGCTTAATCTGACTGTCCCTACAGCTCGGTTCGCGTTTATTAACGAGCGCCACGAGTGCTGCCATGTGCAACGTAACCGGCATCGCGTGCATATCGCTGAAATTGTACAGGTATGCGTACAGGACATCGTAAACTCCCCCGGTGTTGGGCTGAAATAGCAGACGTACGGGACGGCTCCTTCCTATGCTCGCCGATTGTTCCTCGGGACAATGGAAAGTTACCTGGTGGGTTAAACGAACCCGTCGGCACCCTTGACAAATTATACCCCGCGGTTTTGCGACCGTGAATTCTCAGACCCAGGAACACGAATATCAGGTCATCCTTATTAATTTCGCTGTTCTAAATTCTAAATTCGAGCGGCAATTAAATTTCAATTAAAAGTAGCAAAGTTTCTCTTGAAATCGCCCTGTGTAAAATATAGAATTAAAGTATAGAGAAACAAGGAGGTAAACAGGGGAGATGAACGAATGGAAATCCGGTTACGTAAAAAGTCAGCCTGTTCGATAACGAGCCGTTGCTCTGACAGTTGTATTTTTTTTAATATTTGCCTTCGTTAACGATATCCCGTTAGTGTTATTATCGATCAAACACGGATGTCACGCGTAACGCGGTAATAATGTTTGCCGTAATATAAAAACACTTGAAACGAGTCGTTCGAAGAGCGACGTTGCCTACAATTTTACTAATTACCAGCGGTAACCGAGAACATCGAGGGTATATCCGAACGCGATGCACGGCTCGTAATTCGTCAACGAAAATTCACGTCAAAGCTCGACCGGTAATTATGCCAGTAATAGTCGCATTTGCCAATTTTCCTACTGCTTGTCCCATCGCTATTCCGTGCCAAAATATTATCCATTTTATTCGAACAACGTTGTTGTTAAAAATGAAAAATCAGTCGTGAAATTGATATTTATTTTTCAAATTTTGTACTATTTTTGAATATGGATCACGATTAATCCACTCATCACTAGAGAATTAATAATAACCGATCAACCTTTTGTTTCCAGGTGGAAATGACTGGTCTGACAGGAATTATAAAGTTCGATCATCAGGGATTTCGCTCGGATTTCATTCTGGATATCATCGAACTCAATAACAAGGAGGGTTTGAAGAAGATAGGAACGTGGAACAGCACGAAAGGTATAAATTTTACGAGAAGCTACAAAGAGGAGTATACTCAGATCGTTGAGAATCTTCAAAACAAGACATTCATCGTGACGACCATATTGGTGAGTGTCTGAATTTTTTTATATTAATCCGTAATTTACATACATTCATTTTTCTAAAAATCATTTATATTCGATCGTAGAAATTTGCAAAAATTACTATATGTATTTTCCACTCCAAACTATTTTCACCCCTTCGGAGTGAATTGGTATCAAAATTATGTTAAATGTTTTTATAAAATCGATGTATGTAATTCTTCGTACATTCGTTTGAATTAACCAAATCAACCTTTACAAATCTCATTCCAAGTCTCAAGTCGCATCCATTAAAATCTCGAAAATTTTCTTTCCTCCTCCACGGAATCCACATGAATCGTTCGGCGTATCGTTAAAGTCCCGACTGTTTGTTTTTCCGAAATGAAAAGGAAACAGAAGCAGAGCTGAACGAGGTTCGTACGGAAGCGAGAAATTTCCTTTTCCTTCTTCATCCTTCGCCTCCACCTCGTTAGCTTTTCCCTTTTTCTTTTTTTTTTATTTTCATCTCTCCAACCGTTCTTCAGGGAATAAAGAAAACCGACCTCGAGAAACTCGGGAACCCTGGAGGGGTATCCGCTATTTAATTGAAGCTTTCACGTCGACTCGCCGTCGCGTTACTTATTCTTGCGCTAATTGCGGCCACAAGTAATGCAATGCACTTGCGTGCATATTAACTGGCTCGAAAGTTCAGCTGGAGAAGCATCAGAGAGCGTCGAGTTTCGTGGTCGCGAGATAAGGGTGCTCGAGGAGATGAGTCTGAGAACTTGAACAATCTAATGCCGCTTCTTTAGAGGTTTAACCGTTCACTGTATTTACGACGTTATTAATCGGATTTTCGTTCGGCTTGCTTGAATAAGGGGCCTAAGTCAGCTCACCGAGTTTGTACAGCCTCTTGGGTTATTAGGTAGCATGAAAATTTTATGACTTGGCAATATTATTAACCCTTTATTGATAGATATAGGTCAATCATTATCCAAAGCTTTCACTTTCAAATTTCGAAATAAAATATTTTCAAAAGTGATGGTATAAAATTTGAAAAATGAAAATGAGAAAGGATCGCTATCTCAATGGCCCATCGTCTGAGGGTGAACCCAAGTAAAGTTTAAAATTCAACAGTGATAAGATTACGATAAAAATTCAATTATAAAAAATTGATTGTAATTTAAGATTTCGATATATTCCTATACATGAGTGTACACCCTATTCTTGAGTTTATCTAGAGTTCCATCGCAACTCGTATAGAACTTAAAGTGTGTTTCTCAAGTCCTTATCCAAGGACCTTTGGTACGATGAAATTTTAGCGAAACTTTCCACGATAGAAACTTCCACTCACGTTTTTCGAAAACTCGATCGCACATTCCGTAACGCCAGTTTCCATGAAATTCCTCGTCGAACATTTAGCATAATAAGCGTTTTGCAACTCCCCTTGACGACATATGCGATTCTAAATGTAAAAAAGAAAACCTCAGAGTCTCCCCTTAGAACAATTGAACTCTAGAAAACAATGTTACTGCATAGAAAATCATCAGCCTCGTATTGTCCTCTACTCTCGCGTGTTTCTCTCCCCTTCTCTCTCAAAGAAAAGCTCGTCGACGTGATATTCGGTCGCTTTAAATCACGCGCACGTAGAGATGCATATTTCACACCTCCCCGGCACCCAGTGCGAATCACGGTTGCGTTAATTAAGCAGCGTTGGAGCGCGAAAGGAGCCGCAGCTCCTGAATTTTCATATTCGTAGAAACGTGGCCAGGTAGAGTAGCCGTCTCTAATGTGTGATTTCGCGCGCACACACCCATATGTATCGCGTGTTCCATTGGTTAACCCGACGACCTGGCTGTTCACATCCTCGTATTCAAATCCTCTTGCGCTATGCCCTGCGTGCCCACGCACGTTCACACATGTATGGAATCGATCTGTGACGTCAGCTCATTAACCCGCAGAGCGCACCATACTGCATGAGGAAGGATTCGAGCGAGAAGCTCACCGGAAACGCACAGTTCGAGGGTTACAGCATCGATTTGATTTACGAGATATCGAGAATACTAGGATTCAATTATACGTTCCGTCTGGTGCCAGATGGACGATACGGTTCCTACAACAAGCAGACGAAAGAGTGGGATGGTATGATGAAAGAACTGCTCGATCAGAAGGCTGATTTAGCGATCGCTGATCTAACTATCACGTACGATCGGGAACAAGCGGTCGACTTCACAATGCCGTTCATGAACCTAGGTGAGCGATCTGTTTAATCAACGGGTCCGTTTCGAATGTGCTGATTGCCGCCGTGAATCGATTTAACGATCAGTAAACTATTCCGCCAATTCTAGTTCGCTTCGAGAATTTTTCAAACCTTATCGAAGATCAATAATTCTAATTCATCGTCCAAGTGAAATAATATCATTTGAAAATCATGAAAGTAATCGATCTCCTTTTGAATAATCCAAAAATTATTTAAATTTTTAATGAAAAAGGAAAATAAATCGCTTTGATATTTCTCTCGCATTCTACATATTTCAAAAGCGATTTTTACTTATTGCGCCACATTTTTTTGGTTAAATCTCTGCTAGTAAATAAAGCTATGAAATGTGTGAATTTTAAACTTTCAGGTATCAGCATACTGTACCGTAAGCCTATAAAGCAACCACCGAATCTGTTCTCGTTCCTCAGCCCTCTGAGCCTGGACGTTTGGATTTATATGGTGACAGCTTATCTGGGTGTCTCGGTGCTGCTCTTCATACTCGCCAGGCAAGTGAATCCATTCTGCCAAGACCCGATAAAAATATTCTACGGCACCGACGAAATTTCGTATCCGAACGAATCCCTTCACCTAATATGCTTTACCGCTCGGATAAACTTTCATCGTGTCGACAATTCGATAAATTTTCAGCATCACACTTCTATAATTACTATTTAACTCTCAAACGGTGGGTAATTAAATTTTAGAGTACCTCTTTACAATATAATATAATGCGTTTCTTAACTCTCGGATGGCGGACCATGGAGAAAGCCCCAAGGCGACGGACCCTGGAGAGAGCCACAATTTTAATTTAATTTTGCATTTCATATTACTTTCTTTTGTTTAAAAATTATACATTTAACCTCAGGTTACCAGTTTATTATGCAAGAAACGCATTTTATTATATTTTTCTAGTTATTTAGGAATCGATAATTGTAGACGATCAATCAATACCAAAATATTTTATTTAAAAATTTGAATAGCTCGTTTTATCGCGACCTGCTGTTTGAGGATTAATTCACTGATAACTCTCAAGTAGCTATTTCTTAGATACCATCAGGGTATACATCCGGCTTCTACCACAAAGTACATTCGAACGCAACCAAACGAACAGACATACGTTGACTTGTAACATTCCGTTCGACTTCTTTTTCTCAACGTGGACGCGGTTAATCTTCATACGTAAATGGCGATCGATCCCTGCGGAAGACAGATACGTCCATCTGAAAGGATCAGACGTTGTCTAGAGTTGATCAGTTTAGATTCACCCCGTACGAGTGGTACAATCCTCATCCGTGCAACAAAAACCCGGACCATCTGGAGAATCGCTTCAAGCTGCTCAACTGCATGTGGTTCACCATCGGGTCGTTAATGCGGCAGGGCTGTAACATTCTGCCCAAGTAAGCCGTTAGATTGGCATCTCACGGTCATTGGCTCGAGCGTTTCTTTTGCTCGTTTCTTTATCAATCCTCTATTTCTCCCCACGTCTTTGTTTCCCTCCAGCTCGTTTCTTAGCTCGCGTTCGAAAACGCCGTTGTTGGGTTCCGCCTTCGGACACCGTGTCGTCGATCGGGAACGCATGTAAATCGACGACCACGATCGGTAACTAACAACGGATCCACTTTCGCTGCGATTTGCTCGAACACGCAGCCCTTTTACGGGCCAAGTTCGCTCGTACGACAGAATGGATGAATTATTCAGCGAAACGAATTCGTGAAACCGCTTTCAACAGTCCCGCCGGGATATCGGATATTTTGAATGTGTTGCAGATACTATCGTTCGCCTATCGGGATTGAGAACCCGATTGGAAGGGAATTGATTTCTTGGAGGAGAGATAGTCAGACACTTTGTACCAAGATACAAAATTGATAGCTTGAATTTAGAAATAACACGTGATTTGCTAATTACGAATTACTGCTCCATTAATTAAACGTCTCATTAAAAAGAAAGATCTATGGTTAAACGTAAAAATTCTAGCCAGGAGGAGCTTAATTTCTCTTTCGCAAACTTTCCTCTGTTTCTTTGTCGCAAAAAGAGGTAGGTGGATCGCGAGCTGTAAAAACGTTTCACGATGTTCGCACAATTTATTACACGGAAAAAGGTACGCGAAGAGGGATAATATCCCCCGGCGATGGGATAATTCTGGTTTGTCTGGCAGTCTCTCTCCTTACGTTCAGTATTTGCATAACTTAGGTGAATATCGATTAAAAAGCGTGCGACGATTCTCAGAGTCGTAGCTACGTATCGAGGGACGTTTTTCATCGAGGGTTGTATTTACATTTCATCCGTCCACATGGTGACGCGGTTCGCTAATTACTCGTAATAATGGTAATAAATCAAACATTATATGCGAGTAATACCGTCACGTTGAATCATGATTAACGAGAAAATTTAGAAAGGGGAAAGATATATTTCTGTATCTATTTATTTGATATTGTCATCCCAGATATTCCTCTGTTTTTAGAACTGCAAAGTTATTTAAAGATTCTGACGGAGAAAACAAAGATTCAAATGTACCTCGATGTCTCCTTAACGCCCGCACCTAAATCAGCCCGAATCCCGTCGCAAAACCGTACAACATCCACGGGAAACGTTTGCCTGTAATTCCAGAAACAGAGGAAACATTTCAAACGTTTCACAGTTCGTCGTTGACACATTGGGACACCGCAAACACGACGAATTTTAGCATCACGGTATCAATGTTTCAGCAACGCGTGCAACCAAGGCTTCTCTTGATTAAGGAAAAGTGTAAAGAATCGACCTGATCATTTATTCTTTACAAACGAAGAGAGGAAGGTGTAATTTAGGTTTTTCCTAAGGCAACAAATTTCTCCCTCTGCTATTACCCTTAAATAAAGGAAGTCTACGTTGCAGCCGAGTGTACGATTAGTCAGGTTACGACTCTGAGGTCTAATCCTTTCCCTTCTCCATTCACGTGTCTGCAGGTTCAGCCCCTACGAGTGGGAGAATCCCCATCCGTGCAACGGACAGTCCGAGGTCCTCGAGAACGAGTTCACCCTGATGAACTCGCTCTGGTTCACCATAGGCTCGCTCATGCAGCAAGGCTCTGATATAGCGCCGAAGTAAGTGTGAATATAACGAAGAAACACAACAGCGACGTATGGGTGCGATCGTTTTTTCTACCAAACTTCGAGAGAGTTTCGAAAGCGAGAATAAAGTTTTCTTATAGCTTCGTTAGATTATTAGTCGCGGTTCATTTATTTCGGTGAGAGAAGCTTTTTCCGAGGAGAGGCGAGATTTTGGGGGTCGTAGGTAACGATAGCCTGGATATGCTATATCGTAGGCTTGCTGCAATCGAATGATCACGTTCTCGTATCGAAACTCGTCGACGTGCTTTCGTTATCGCTGAGGCTACCCTCCACACCGACGATGTTTCGTTCGATGGAAGTTCGTTGTTGCTGTTCCCAAAGGGAATACGGTAAGATGCTGAGACACCGTCGTGTAACCGAAATAATGCACTATAAGTGTTCTGATAAACCCGGTTCCTCGGAGGAATTTCCATGGTGTTTGATTTTGGGAAAAATGGAATTGGAAGTTCGTTGAATTGGAACAGCAACAACTTCTTCGAATTAGACCGAGACGATAAAAAGCGCTTTCACCTGTTCGGAAATTGAGCTTTCGTTCTCCAGTATTTCCTGCGATACGACCCCCATCCTCGTTATCGTCATTTTTCAGTTTTTAGTATTGTTTAGCTGTCGTTGTTGTGAGTAGCAAACGAATGCCTTGGGTGCATGGAAACGTAGAAATTAGAGAAGAATAGTCTTTTAAAATCGATCATCTGATATAATGAAAGTTTCTCCTGCATGAATCATAAGGCTTAGAAACTTACAAAAATATCAAAATATCTCTTTTGCCATTTTTACGTTTAGATAGATATTTCTATTCCACAGCACCTCTGATTTCGCTAAATCAATTTATAATTAGGAAGGCTAATTTTTCGGTCAATAAAAAATACACTTCGATATTCATACAGGAGAAACAGATTTTTCATCGACGCTTTGCGGAAGTTTCTCTGCACCGTTTGGAATTTTACTTACAGGGCTGTGTCGACTCGTATAGTGGCGGGTATGTGGTGGTTCTTCACTTTGATCATGATTTCTTCGTACACTGCCAACTTGGCCGCGTTCCTTACCGTCGAGAGGATGGATTCACCGATCGAGAGCGCGGAGGATCTTGCAAAGCAGACGAAAATCAAATACGGGGCTCTCAAAGGAGGAAGTACCGCGGCCTTTTTCCGAGTAAGATCGCATGAATATCTTATACGTTTTGTACAAACATTCGCGTAATCGTTTCACCCGGCTACATACGCTGTCTTCGTTTATCGACGAATTTCCCTTCAATGTATATAAAATAGCTCGCCGCAATAAAAATTGTAATGCAAAGTATTCTGTAAGAGGATGTAGCCCGGTGATGCAGAGAAATGTGTATTCTTTGAAGAATTTCAAATTAATTCTCATTTTATTTCCCTTTTGATTCGAAATTTCAGGACATTATTGGTAACATAACTATTGTTCGTTACAATTAATTTGCCGATACCAATATTAGATACATATTTCGAAATGCAGAATGCACGATGCGATGCTTAATTTTGATAATAACAATATTAATTAATACAGTCATCGAACGACTGAAATTCCAATAACCATTATTACCGTAAAGTGTATCACGGAACAATAGTAATAATAATTAACATTAGGGAAATGAAGGAAGGAAGAAATTTTAATTCCTCGTGTTTCACATTAATTAATATTTATTTAATTACTTCTACAAGAATTTATACATTTCTCTATTTCTATACTATTTTAAATAAATAGAAATCTCCTCTGATAATTGATTAATTTTCAAGCAAAAATGATAAATCTATTTTCCCCAAAAATTGAATCGCTAATTATTCGAATTGATCAATTTCTCACGAATGGGGTTGTTGATTCTCACGAAGCCGCGGCTAGGTAATAGGCCTAAGCTTGAAGATTAACCAATTTCGATCGGCGTTCCGTCGTTTAACTGAACGGGGTGCTCGACCATGAAATTCCTGGCGTGATCTAGGATTCCAATTTCTCGACGTACCAGCGCATGTGGTCCTTCATGGATTCGGCAAAGCCGACGGTATTTACAACGAGCAACGTCGAGGGTGTGGAACGGGTGATCAAGGGTAAAGGCAGTTACGCGTTCCTAATGGAATCCACTTCTATCGAATACGTAATCGAGAGGAACTGCGATCTGACTCAAGTTGGCGGTCTGTTGGACTCGAAGGGTTATGGCATAGCCATGCCACCAAGTAAGTACACTAATCGGGATACATACTGTCGCGTGTATGGTTAGCTGACGTATAAACTCGTCAGACAGATACACCGTTAGCCGATTACACTCAGCCGAATGGCTCTCGGCCGATAGAGACAGCCGAGCTATTCCGAACGATCGACGTGTATATTTTTGATTTATCGTCGACGACAAACGGTGTCGAATTGGAAAGATAATTTTTCACGCTCCGTCCGTGGATTTATAGAGGTATCCTTGTTGATTCACATTTCTGCAAAAGGAAATATCAACGCGTCGAAATTTAATAATTTATTATTTTTCACAATCGAAACTTTAACATTAGATCGTCTAGACTCCAAAAGCGTTCTAGTTTCTCCATCGAGGTCACGTCTCGCGTCGAACGGAAAAGCGATCGCGCGAGACAGTGTCTCGATCGCAGTTTCCCGAAAGTTTCTGTCCTGCGATAAAAGCTAAGCTGGAAAACGAGGGCGACTCGTTGAAAACGATCTTGGAACTTCAGATTCGCCGTACAGAACTGCCATAAGCGGGGCCATCCTGAAGCTGCAGGAAGAGGGGAAGCTGCACTTGCTGAAGACACGCTGGTGGAAAGAGAAACGAGGCGGAGGATCTTGCAGGGTGAGTATGCAAACACGCGGCCTAGCTTCCCTTATTTTCCCTCGGATACGTTCCAACAACGACGCTGCAGTCTATAAATGCGCTCCTGGAATTCTTATCCCCCTCCGAACATACTTCTCTCTGGCTCCAGGCTCGCCCATCCGGCCGAAAAAGACAGCGTAGAGATAAGAATAAGAGCGTGGGTGGATGGTACCGCGAGAAGACAGTTTCATAAATTCGTGAAATCATGACCACCGTTATTATGCAGCCTCTTACTCGCCGATATTATTCTGTCGGAACGAATTCTTGTAACTCTTCGTCGTCTGGAATTTGTTGGCTGAAAATGTGTACCTGTTGTGCTAAGAGAGAACTATGATTTCAATTTCAAAATATTTGCAGCATCGGGTTTCTCAGTTTCATTTATCATATTTTTGAAATAAACTTCGATGGACGGTATTTTAATGGAAATATCGTTTGTATTTTGACAGGACGACACGTCGAAGAGCAGTTCGACAGCGAACGAGCTGGGCTTGGCAAACGTCGGCGGTGTGTTCGTGGTTCTGATGGGCGGGATGGGGATCGCTTGTGTGATAGCGGTATGCGAGTTCGTCTGGAAAAGCCGGAAGGTCGCCATTGAGGAACGGGTGAGTGAGGTCAGATAGCACGTCGAAGAAGGCGTGATCGCGCCTGAAGTAACATCGTCCAACACGCATCTCGATCCTGACGCGATCTATCCCGATATACCGCGCGAATACATCAGTTGATGTTCGCACGACGGTGGAGTTCCTCTTTAATGGTCGCGGTGCAAGTACAAAACCACTCGGGTCTGATCGTTCTCTCTCTAATCGATGAATCACGATCGACGTTTTAAAAATAAGAAATTCATGCTGTTATGCCATGAACCTGATTAGAATTTTTAATGATACAAAAATTAATTTTAATATAAAAAAAATGACACATTGGTTAAAAGATCCACGGGCATAACAGCACTTTAGAGGGTTTCTGTTCTTGGAAGGATTGAACTCTGCGACGATGCAAATTCGTACTCGCCTTTTCGTTCTCGTCCGCTCTCTTCTTCTCGATTCAAGTCGAAAGAATTTAGAACGCGAGATAAGCGAAGAGATATTGGAGCGTAAAGTGTCTTTGTCCGCGGGAGAGTAATTACTCGCAGCATCAAGTGAATGGTGGCTACGATGCTAATTCGGTATTCATGGTTCTTTGCTCGTCTTTCGGACCCGTATTCTTTCATTCGTGTTCGTTTCCGTTGAAAGGAATCGAGCCTTGTTTACCGTTGCCTCCGTTAATTCGACGGTACGCTTTATGATTTCGATTTATCGCTCGAAATTCGAGCGTTTCCCGGTGTATAGGGAATTGAACGTCGAAACGGATCGATCATCAGGAACAAATAGAAAGTGAAAAATGGAGCAACGTCGGAGTGTATTTTGTTCGCGTGAAATGGAAATACAATTTCGCTTGATAAATAGACGCGAAGAATTCAATTAGAACGACGGGTCGCCGCAATATTGTACAGCCAATCCGCACACTCACCGGTTAAATGAATTACATCGGAACGGAAATTTACGAGCTTGAAAAGGTGCTGATAAACTCTCGACGAGCTCGTACCTTTTTCGCAAAATAGAGGATATTTTTTAATTCGAGAAAAAATTGTAATTAATATACCGAGCTTTCCTGAACTTTTCATTTTGATTATCCGGACGTTGCTATAATTATTTCCTTTGAATTGAAAAATAAAAACAAATCCTACTCCTTAATTTCTGGTAATAATTTTTAATTCGCGAGAATCCTAAAGGTGTTATTGGAAAACGGTATATGACGAAGGTCGTAAACACAGCAACATATTAAGGCGTGACTCGCGTGCAGAAACGCGAGCTGCAACGAGACTCGCGTGTCTACAATATGTATTCGAGCTGCCGTTTGCGTACATTCAAGCGGTAAGCAAACAGGCAAGTATTTGAGAAGGGCTCATCCACAAATACGGATATGCAGCTTTGCACCGGTGACCCCGCCTACACCGAGAGCAAACAATCCCACTAGCCAACAAACGTCAGAGTATTGCTGTTCCTCTTTGGTCCGTACTACTTCGGACCGCAACGAAGTAGCCACGATACACCCTTGAATCTGAAACTGCTAATCGTTTTAGCTCTCGACGGGACCGGATCGAAGATAGTAATACAAGATCGACCCCTCCCCTCGATACGTTCGATTTCATGGCCTCGTAAATCGAATTTTCTTCGTCGAGATACTTCGATCAACGTGGAAATTAGTTTCAAACACACTATCTTCGTTAATTTATAGTTGAGTAGCTAGTTCGAGAGATTATAGTGGACAGAACGGTGAGAAACTATAGGTATGGATTTGATAAATTGCTGGAGATCAGAGACTAGGAATCGAGGGGATAAATTGTTGGGAGGATTTTGGAGTTTATATGCAGAGGGTAATTAAAGAAAAATTTTCGAAGAAACAGATGCGTGATTTAAAGGGTACTATATTTTGTCAAATTTTTTGTACATTAGTTGCTGTATGGAAAGATATTTATATAGTATCAAAAGAAGCGTAAGAAAGTAATGATTTTGTTGTAGATTAATCTTTAAAAATTATATAATTAATTTATATTTTAATTAGCATCTGAATACCTCAGTTATATTTTAATTATCATCAGTTTTCTTTCCATCAAAATTATATTTTTAAGTAAAACAAAAATTATTGTGATTTATTACAGAAAAATATTTTATAAAACAAAGACTTTTACGCTTCTTATTACAGCTCTTTCATCTTTTGTTTCTCGATTCGAAAGAAATCAAAGCACGAGTTCTCCTTTTTTATTTAATTCATAAATGAATACGTAATTAATATTTAAAAGATCAGTTGTGAAATCCTTGCAATTCGGTTTTTCATACTTCTAACCAAGAACAAAAATGCTTCTCGTGTTTGTGGCCCTTGATCCGATTCATCGATCTCTTTCCAATAAACGCAATCTTACCCGAGCATTTTCGTGTTCTGTTTTAGAAGCAGAAATCCTCGGGGAAACCGATCTGCGAAGCTTTTACCGATCTACACTAACGGACGGTATAGCGATCCTCTTGCGAAAATAAACAGAATTAAAAAAAAATGATTCCTAAGCTCGAGAAAAGCGTATCTGACCCGATGGACCTAAGGAGGAACTCCACCACGAGCGATCGAGAACTGTGTGTGTTACGTTTCACAGACACAAACTGTAGAAAGTTCAAAAGAAACGTATAATCAAAAGAAAGAGCAACGATCCTCGACCTTTCCAGTTTTTCTTTCTTACTTTTTCCCTTTCGTGAAACGTAATCTCTCCGCGGACAATCGAATTGAAAAGACGATCAATTATTATCGAGTAACGTACGGTGTCATTGGAATTTCATTAACCCTTCTTCGTATTAATGATTTCCTATAACAGAGGATTACATAACTTACATGAATTTTTAAATAATTATGTTAAAATGTATTAAAGCATGCTTAATTTAACCCCTTCGCTAAATTACCTGAGTTCGGTATTTGAAAATAAAATAATTTTATTTGCATTGAGAATATTTCTTAGGTAGATTCTTTTCTTTCTAATTACCATACGAAAATTTTAATCGCATGCTTTTCATTTTGAAATGTAAATGTTTTGAGTTTCTCGTAGTAGCGAAAGGGTTGAAGGCTGAAGGGGTTTCGAAGAAGGGTTAAGCGAAAAATAAATTCAAATGATTTCCATCGTGTTCCTCAAAAGCCATCATACAATCCATGAAATTGGAAAGGTCAATGGCGTTCGCCAATTTGCTCATATCAAATCTTAGATTAATCGACGACGACTTGAAGCCTCGCAACGAGAAGAGACAGTATCTCGGGCGATTGTTAATATAAAGATGGAAAATAAAAGACACGGCGTGACATTCTCGACGGACACGCCGTGATCGTGACTGAATATACGTGCTGCAGATTAACGAGAACTATTTACGAACAATCATGATTTTATACCGATTAGATAATTATTAATGTATAGCGTCTGATTGCGAACCTTTTACTGTATGTACATAATTGCGTGGCTCGAAAAGTGAAGTTCCTAAGTTTCCCGATAAAAATAAAAGAGAAAGAAAAAAAACAGCAAAGAATAATTGAAATCGAAAAGATATCGGAGAAAGTTCCAGGTCCAACAGAAACTTACGAACTTCAGACTCGAGTAAACGAAAGAACTTCGTTCATAGACCATTCTGTGTGTCTCGTATAAACCTTGTATTATACGGATTTAATGAGAAAAGAAAAAAAAAAAGAGGACGAATCTTACTTAAGGTTCGAGAGGATACGCGCACGATGTGACAGTTTAGTATGACATTGTTAGTTGTGTCGCAATGTTTCTTGCCTCTCTTTCTCTCCCGCCATGGATACGCAGGAGGTGAGCAAGTTTTCTATTTTGTCTTTATTACTCGTTGTGTCACGGCATCTGGTTGATTGACATCTCGTAGAGCATGAACTTTTTATGGATGTAATTTTCCACCATCAATCTGTTTCTTTTTTTTCCCCCCTTTCATTGTACGACTCTCGTATTATGATGGAAAAATGAAATCGCTAAACGAATGGGGAAATGGAAAAGTTGTTGGTGAAAAATTGTAGAATATTAATGTCACTTTGTGTGAAAAAGAAAGACTGGTTTTTATCCCTCATTTTACTCAATTTTTATTATTTTTCATTCTGAACTGACGACTTGGGAAGATCACATAGCATGGTATGATTGGAATTATTTTCTGTTCATTTTCACATTCTTCTTAATACTTTGCTACCATCATTTATTGTTAGTTGAAAATTATAGAATACTTTATTAATAATAAAATAACTTAAAGCATAGTTTCGTACGAAATATTGAAAGGGTTACATGATATACACATGGTAGCAACTGTGTTAATTAGGATTTAATTCTTTATTAGAATTTTGTTATTTCTACCTTCAGCTTTAATACCTTTTTTGCACTAGGACTTAGTAATATGTTATTACAAAATGTTTATTAAAAATTGCATGGATAATTGCATGCTTATTATCGATAAATGCTTATTAATCACTTTTGGCTCATTTTTCATTGATATTTTCACTTGCTCACAATGCATGTAATATCAGTTGCATGCATATATTCATTTAATTGTTCAAACACCAGCTAAGTCAGCTCAAAGTCATGACGCAGAGGCTTTCACAACCTGATTCATTCCAAAATCAAAATTTTAATTGCCCACTGAAGGGTTAACCCTTTCACCCTTTTGTCAAAACGTACGAATGACCTAACGCTTCTGTTCACCCCTATCATCTCACTAGTCGTCATTAAGAAATGTTAATTGCGATGTCGTATGTTGAATAGAAAATTATTAAATTATTTTGCGTCATAGCATTTGACTGACGAAGCAACGGGCCCTATTAAAGCCATACAATTAAGACCGTGCAGCAGCTTGGTCGTTTCGTCGAACTTGCAGAAATCCGTGTGCTCGGAGATGGCGAGCGAGCTGCGTTACGCGTTGGATTGCGGGAACGGGACGAAAAAGCCGGTGAAGAAGACACTGTGTCAACGCGAGAGGCAGCAATCGAATCTGTCGATCGTGTCCGAGGAGGGCAGGTATCCAGAGTGCAACAAGTACAGACACTTCGTGGGGAAAGCGCCTCTGACTTGAAGCTCGCAAGCGGATCGTTGAACACCATGGATGTATGGTGAACACGTTTAATCTAATGAACGTTAAATTCAATGAACTATAAGAATGATCGATAAATCAATTAGCCGCGAATCGAACTTTCTAGGCGAACGAAACTCGAGCCCTCCTTCAACTTGCTACTGCTGTTCCCTTTTTCTGTGTCTCTGGGTGTGTATACGTCTGTTATTATTTTTTTATCTTCTTCCATCTTTTTTTTTTTTTTCTTCTCTTCACAAGTGACACGAGCAAGGTAGTTCTTCGACTAGCACTTTGTAGGGTCTACAGTCGTTTAGCCGTTAATTGGAGCTCGTTGGAATTTATTGTACCGTGCGGGAGACAACGGCGCGCGCTGTTTGAGCGGAAAGATTAACGAGCGACCTCGAGATCCTTTGTCTTTCGTTGAGGTACTCGTGCCGGAAGAGCGTGTCTTTTATGGAAAGGGAAGATCGTGAACTGTCTATGGCTGTAGCTTCTGCGGTTGATATAAAATGTCGAAAGGCAGCTCCAAGTAAGAGGGTTGAAAACTGTTAACCCTTCGCTGTTCAACTTTCTAAGTGGTGGTTCTATGTAGAGGACGTTGCAACAAGTCTGGTGTCAAGTAACTTTTTTTTTTAATATTAAATTCATTCTTCACGTTTATTTAGTGAAAATAGGATTGTTTAAAAATTGATTTGGAATTGCGAAGAGTTAAAATTTATCAAAATTTACGAATATTATAACGATTCCATTTTATTCGTTTGAAACTTTTCTAATTTCAATTGATTAAAACTTTTCATTAACTCTATTTTCATTTTTGATTAACTTTATCAAACTGTTTCGCAGGTTTGAATACACTAAAATTGAATGGAGCGGTATTATATCGGGGTTGCAGATTATTCAGTGTGTCACACACAGGTGTCTCTAATAATTATTTTATTCAATCTGGTATTAACGATGAATTTACCATTCGTTCTAACATTAATTTAAAACACGCGAGGTCGACACTGAAAGTTCCTTTCTCTCTTCAAATTATAAATGATATTTATTTATTTCATCCCCCTTTTATCAAACGCTGATAGTTTAATTATTCAATTCAATTTCGTACACATTTTATTAATTTGTTTAAAATAAACGTCGATATCTCCCGTACGATATTCGTGGCAAATACGAGACAATTATTTCGACGAATGGAAGCGATCGTAAAGGAAAAATAAATTTTGTGAAACGCTACTCGAACAGTGAAAAATAATTTCATTGAGGAAACGAATCGAAAGGATCTCTAACATCGACCATATTGTTCATTTCTAAAGAAAGTACACTAATGTTGTTCAATAAATTGAAATGCCGTCTGTTCGATGGCGTTCAGGTACACCCCCTTAGTGTAAATAAACATAATCGTTAAGAATACGAATTAAACGATCGCGTCTGTGCATTGTAATATAGTACGTTTACGGGAGGGCCATTTAATCGCGAGAGTTCGTTCATCCGATTAGCTAAAATACATTTTAATTTAAGATAATGTGTCCAATGCGAATGAGCATCGCAGAAACGTGTTCATTTTGAACGTCTCATCGACGTTACATCGAAAGTGTAGATAGAACAAGCAATTTTATGCTTTCATTTCGTTCTAATTCTTTGCATTATAAACAGTCAAAGCTTCCAGCTCTGCCGTTGTAAAGTATAGGATTTTATTAATCTATCTACATTCAATTCCAGATTCTTTTCGCTTCGGTGCTGCCTGTAATTCTTCGAACGAGAAAATTAATTCCACTTTCATGTATTAAAATTCATGAATAGAGATGGTGGAAATAATATGCAATACCCATTTTGATGTTTAATCAACGAAATTTCAGAAATATTTTAAAATTAAAATTATTTTTCCTGGCTTTTTAAAAAATCACTGTTGGATGAAATCATACACAACACTAATAATACTGATTAATTACTGATTAATATTTCAGATAAATTTTCACAGCAGTATATAACTGGAAATCATGGTCACCAATATTATCACCATCATCTCTACTTTCCTTTTGAAAATTTCTTCTCAATTAGTTTTCAAAACAAATTTCATTATCTCGATGCAACATATCGATTCTGCTTTCCTAATTTCCCAGCGTTCGAAGGAATAAACTAATTAATAGGATCAATAAGGAGACTGTTTACAGGTGTTACGTTGCTGTTTGCGAATACCACGAGCAGTATTAATTTCCGTCTTCCTTCTCCGAAGGGGGTAAACGCGTGCAAGTATCGCTCGTCTTAGTCGACGGAACGATCGATTTCCTGATGCAGATTGATCGTCGCGATGAAATTATCGTCGAGATTCGGGGTGTTCCAGATTCCGATATGATTCCGTGACTGGCGTACACGATTTCTCAGGACACCGTGTATACTAGTGATTCAAATCGTTGTTCGTTCTGCCAGTTTTTTTTACTCTCGACTCGATCACCTGCCAAATGTGAATGCGTGAATTTGTGGATGCGTGGGCGCGTGTCTGTGTGTGTGTACAGTGAATCAAAATCGTAAACGTACAAACGCGAAAAAGACCCGTATAAATGACACACCGCGTATCAGTCGCAATTTGTAAATAAATTTGTCTGTAACGCGTACACTGCGTTCACGTCTAAACGAGTTTGTTAAGAGCCTATTGATTATACTTCTTACGTAAAGTGTACTACCGAGCATCATATTATACGTGAAATAAACTCATCGTCTGTAAATTCTCTATGAACGTGTCTCGGTGTTTCTTTTAAGGGAGATGTAAGATAAGGATTGATCAGTAGTAAGCTTTGTTGGTTTAGAAATATTGGAAGAATATTATTGGAAATAATATTATTGGAAGAAGGAGATTAAGTACTATTAATCTCTTTTATTGTCAATATAGAGGCCACCCTTTAAATCTCCCTCTTTTTTTATTACTTCCAAAATACCAAAGGAATTCAATTGTTTCATATTTCAACTGTAACCCTTTAAAATTTAATTCATATACCTTTATGAAATATAAACCTTATTCCCTTGTCTATTCCGGTTAAAATTCGGACCCCTTTGAAGCGGACGAGAAATAAAATGTGGGTTTAAAAAATATTTTAATATCACTTTTAATTAAATCCCAGAAACTTCTTAGCATCACCGATAATATTTAATCAGGAGAATTCTCTGTTTGTTAGTCAGAGGTTCGGCGAAGCGAAACGTTTGCTCTGCGAACTCTTTGATCGCTTATCACGTGTCAGCTTCTTTCATTTTCACGGAAAATTATTCCACGCGTAATATACTTATCCCTCGTTGATTACGATAGACAGAGAAAGAGAGAGAAGTTTCACCTTAACTACAGTCACGTAATTGGTCCCCAGGAAGTTCTACTTTTACATCAATTGCCTTAGCCTTCACTCTTCGTTCTCTTGATTAGAGAACCAAATCCCAAACCGCTAACATAACTAATTCACTAATGTATCCAAGTTCCACGGTTGTTACCTTCCCTTTGCTACGAGCACGTTAACGTAGATACTTCATTTACTTTGCTACGAGTCTCAACCTGCTTCCTGCACTTTCCTTCTCCTCCCTTCATCTTTCCTATCCTCCTCTGCTAATCTACATACCTTGATCTTTCCCGGCTTTCATTTACCATCGATTCACCTGTTTCAACTCGTTCGTTCTAATTGTCCGAGGGGAAATGGAAAGTAACGAATTTCTGAATAAATAGGTAAGAAGATTAGGAGATTAGGAGAAATTAAGAAGATTAAAAAAGTAAGTAGACAAAAACAAAGACTCGTTCTAATTGGAAATTGAAATCAATAATCTGAATGATCAGGATGATTGTTTTAGAGTACACACATAATTTCTTGAAAGTCAGTATTCTACAAATAAACACAAAGACAGAGACGTTATAAATAGAATCTACTTATATCATCATCATTCTCAAGAGTCATCTTCCAAAGAAAATTCATTTTCATTACACAAACACTTTTCTAATCTCCAAAAATTTTTAATACAAAAAACAATAAATTTTTCTGATAAATAAATATTTATTCCACTGTTTCGTACACTCACAAGAAGTAACAATGGTTTAACAGATCAGCAATTTATTTAATAAGCACTAATTAACTCTTTCGATTCAATGAACTATCAAACGTTAAAAAAGAGCGATCAGCAAAGTCTAACAATAAGTTAAGTTCGAATTAGATGCCGGCGATGTTACGGTATACAAATGAGTCGAAGAGATTTGGAAGGGAGGCCGCGTGTGCGCAGTGAAAAAGCACTCGAGCAAAGACGTTCGGAATTCGAGTGCTAGCCGCGAGGTTCGTTCTGAAAAGCACGTTTGGCAAACTTCCGTTCCAGGTAACCAACCGCACGTAATCATAATTTTAGGTAAGTTCCTTTTCCTTTAACGCTCCACGCATTAGATGGTCGCTTTGACCCTTTGTGACTCTCTTTTACGTAAAACGACCGTCGTATTAAAGTTTGCTCTCGTGCTTTCAATTTGATCCTTTCTTAAATCCTCTCTAACCATGCAGAAAAATTTACTTTTCTATGTAATTACGATAATAAAGGAAGATTCCATTAAAATTTTCGTATGCTTGAATAATTAATTTTCAAATTTATTTCAACTAATAATTAATTTTCAAATTTAGGCTTTCAATTTTCTATCTTAAATTATTAGTGCAATAGTCAAATAATAATTGGTATATTATTATAACAGTTCATTTCTAAATTTCTATCTCCAATTATTCTAATGACAAAATAGTAATACTATTCAAATCTTTTTCTACCCTTCCTCTTTTTTAATTACTCAAGCTTCGGTCATCGACATCAGCTGATTAACAATGTATTAACTGCAGTAATTTCCAGAAAAATGGTCGTTCTATTTACGATCTTTTAATAGATCGACGAAGATATTTCAAAAACGGGGAGAGGGCATGCTGCACGACAATTCTTAGAAACACTTTGACGATATTAGAACATGCGTTCGATTCTCGGTATAAAACCTCGATTAATTGTATAATTCAAGGAAAACTGTGTCACAGAGCTTAAGCGACACAAGCCAAGCACCGTGACGTTTCGCGCTAAATATATATCGGGCGACGTAACGCGTGATTTCAAAGATTTTCGTCTCTTTTTCACCGTGATTTTCAAGCTGCCACGTTGACACGGTACAAGCGTCGCGACGCGGAATCCACGTCGACGGGACCAAAAGCGCGGACCATGAACGAATGAATGAAAAAGAACAGGGCAAACCACGTGCGTCTGGCAAAGCGACAATTCAGTTCCTCTCGCGTTTCGTCTCGAGAGGATACAGCGGGCGTAAAAATTGCCGCTTCTAAAATTATCCCATGCTAACCGAAATCATGTCCCCATTTTTACCGACGCGATTTCTAGAACGTAAGTCGAAGAGTAGAAAGTTTTCCAAGGTGTTAAATAAAATACCAGAGAAATTTCTTTCAAAATTTCTTTTCAAATGAAAGTTAAATTCGAGTTATAAATCATGTCGGGTGAACAGACTAGGTTCTGCTATTGGAGGGTTGAAAAGCAAAAGCTCCGGGGACAAATCGACGAGGGTTTGACGGCTCGCAAAGCCTCCATCGACGCCTTCAAATAAATAATCGAACTCAATATTGGAGGATTGATTTTAGGCGCGTGTAAATATTTACGCGGCCGGAGAATTCGAGCGCGTAATGCTTTCCGTTCAGTTTACACAACGTCTCGCGCGGTTAAGTGCTCGTTCGAATCCCAGCAGTCGGTTCCAGAATCGTGTGCCAGCTTATTGCAAATAAATTCCCGTCGATCCCTCGAGTCTTTGATGCTAATCGCGTCTGACTGGGCAGCCTTTATGCGAGCTCTGACCATCCTGTGAAACATCAACGGATTCGGCTAACTCCAGCTGTTTTCTTTTAATTTCTGTTTATCATTGCCTCTCTGCGCACAGAATGACTATAAGATGCTGGTCAAGTGTCTCCCGTTGATCTTCTTTTCCTGCGTTCTGGCGTTTCCCAAAAGGGTTCACATAGGTAAGAATGAATGAAAATTTTCTTAAAAGTCAAGTCCAAGATATGAATTTTAATATCATCCGTCTGGAACTCATATTTCAGAAATATTTGCATTTTTGTTTCAGGAGGACTGTTCGACAATGAGGAAGGAATTCAGCGCACCTTCGAAATGTCGGTGAAAACCGTGAACAAAGAGCGACACGAGAACGAGGAATTCGCGAACGTGTTTCTCATCGCAGAGTCGAAGGAAGTTGGAACAGACTCCTTTGAAGTGTCGCAAACAGGTACAGTTTAATTCGCCGATTCAAAGCTTCTCTATTCGTAGGTTATTGCTTATGTCACTCATTCTACGTTTTCGATCCGATCGACCACGTTCAGTATGCGAATTGTTGGACACGAAAGTGGCCGCGATATTTGGGCCCCAGAATAAATTCACCTCGGAACACGTGCAAAGCATATGCGACACCGTGGAAATGCCACATATTTATGGTAGATGGGAGGCGTCGCAAGCTCGTGGAAAAGGGATAAATCTCTTCCCCCATGCGGAGACACTGTCGATAGTATGTAAAATAATTATTCAGAAAATTTGGTGACTAATTAGAACCTTATTTTTCCAGAATTTAAATTATGATATTATACCTCGTTCATTTTTAGAAATTAATTAGAATTCAAAACCTCATTTTTCCAGAATTTAAATTATGATATTATACCTCGTTCATTTTTAGAAATTAATTAGAATTCAAAACCTCATTCTTCCAGAATTTAAATTATGATATTATACCTCGTTCATTTTTAGAAATTAATTAGAATTCAAAACCTCATTTTTCCAGAATTGATGTTACTATTATACTTTAATTAGAATTGGGAATTTTAAGTGTTATATTGATTAACGAATTCGATCTACCATCAGGTTTTCGATAAAATGATAACCGATTTCGAATGGAAAACTTTTGCGATATTATACGAAAGTGCAGACAGTTTAATTCGTATTCATCGTTTGCTGGAACGTTGGGACGCGAAAAGCCATGCGATCTTTTTGTACCATTTGGGTCCTGGTCCGAGTTACAGGTACAGCAATAAAATAATTAAGAACAGCTGGAATTAATTGGAGAATTAATCATCTGGGACATTGAATGTTCCTCGATGAGAGTATAAATTAATTACACCGAGGTGATGCATTTTTCCAGAAAAGTAATACGAGGGATTAAGGACGAAGAAATCGAGAACATCATTATTGATTGTTCGATTAATCGTCTCGCTGAGGTGCTGAAGCAAGCGCAGCAAGTTGGTGTCCTGTCGGAAAAAAACAAGATTATAGTGACTTCGCTGGTATATTGAATTTTTCATTACTTTATATTTCAACAGGATGGCTACCATAGATGATCAGAGCTTCAAATACAATTTGAAAAATAAAAAGGAAGCAGTAGAAAAATTCTAAGCAAATCAAATTAATTTGTATTAATTTTTACAGGATCTCCAGACACTGGACTTGGAACCCTATCAATTTTCAGGGGTGAATTTCACAGGTGTTCGATTGATCGATCCAGAAAATCCAGTAGTAACAAATGCAGTAGAAATGCATAGAAACGAATGGGGTTTTGACGACCCCTCTCAACTCCGAGTAGAACCTGCGCTCATGTACGATGCTGTGCAACTTTTCGCCAGAGCTTTCAAACGTTTGAAAGATGCTGTTAAAGGGGATGTTAAACAATTACCTTGCAATGGTACTATAAGTTGGGAACACGGTTATAGTTTGAGCAATTTTATTCGTTTGGTAAGTTTATTTATTTATGTTAGAAGAAATGTAATTGAAGGTTGATTATTTCTTAGAGCGAAATGGAAGGTTTGACCGGTTTGATCAAGTTCGATACAGCTGGATTTCGTAGCGATTTCCGTTTAGATATCGTTCATGTAACGGAAGAGGGGTTGACGAAAATTGGATTATGGAACAGCACCAACACCATCCAATGGTTGCCGAAAGTTCATCCCCCGAATTCAGATATTGAGTTCAGTCTTCAGAACAAAACGTTCATCGTACTGATTGCTATCGTACGTAAGGAATAGAAATTGATACGTTAACAGAGTAAAATTTAGGAAATAAAAATAAATTAATATTGGGGCTAATTAAAATAATAATTTCCATGGTGGTTACTACAGAATCACAAATTCAATTAATTTAATATTCAGTTTTCTTCTTTGACGTTGAATTTAAATTATTAATCAGAGGAATATTAACAAATATTCAAAATTTAATCCACCAAAATTGTATTTCCAGAATTTTATTCATCAAAATTTTTCCTTCCTTCTGTGTTTCATCTGTTCATTTCATTATACATATTTTTCAGAGTCATCCCTATGGTATGTTAAAGCGATCGGCGGACACAATGGTCGGAAATGATCGATACGAGGGATTCGGTATCGATATTATTCAGGAGCTCAGTAAAATGCTCGGTTTCAATTATACATTCGAAGTGCAAGGTGATAACGTCTATGGATCGTATTCGAAGCAGAAAAAGAAGTGGACGGGAATGCTTGGAAAAATAATTGCTGGTGTTAGTAGTCTGTATATCACGAAAAATATTCCGAGATACAACTTCCGGTGATATTCTGTTGCAGGAAGCTGATCTAGCGATCACTGACTTAACTATCACGTCTGAAAGAGAAGCAGCAGTAGATTTCACGATGCCATTTATGAATTTAGGTATGTATCTTTTAATTTTAAACCAACATGAATCAATTAATGTGGAGGGTGTTAAAAAAGATTTCTATCATATTATTAATTAGAAAAGAATTGATTAAAATCTTTTTATTTGATTTGATAAGTACTACACCTTTTCATCAGCTTGTACAATATATTCTCGTTAATCATTTTTAATTAAATTAATCTACTTAACTCTGATATCAAGGTGCTATAAATGTTTCTCATGGGATCCATCTATTAACACGTTGACTGCCGCAGTAGAAATACCTATTCTTAATCAGACATGATAATATAAATTATCAATTCCCCGATCTAATGTTCATTATAGAATTTCCTTTGTTCTTCCATTCTTAAACTATTCAATTCAATTAAACAATATTACCTTTCCACTTTTAAATTTATAGAAAATTTTATCGCGTTAATCAACTTATGTTAATTTGTATGTGTTTGCATTAATCTTTGTAGGTATAAGTATTCTGTATAGAAAGCCAAGGAAAACACCACCCAGTCTGTTCTCCTTCTTATCGCCATTCTCTGCTGGTGTATGGTGGTATTTAATCGGAGCTTACATATTAGTGTCCGTGGCATTATTCGTGGTTGGTAGACTATGCCCAGCAGAATGGAATAATCCATATCCTTGCATCGAGGAACCTGAGGAACTGGAGAACCAATTCACCTTTAAAAACTCTCTATGGTTCACCATCGGTAGTATTATGCAGCAAGGTTCCGAAATTGCACCCATGTAAGTCTAATTTTCGTATTATCAATTTTTTTTTTTTATTTTAACCAGTCAGATAAAATTTTATTATGTAAATTTCTACACTTCTACAGAGGACTTTCAACACGAATGATGGCTTCTTCATGGTGGTTCTTCTGTCTGATCATGGTTTCATCTTATACAGCAAACTTGGCGGCGTTTTTAACCGTCGAAACCTTAGTATCACCTTTCTCCAATGTTGAGGAATTAGCTAAGAAGAAGACCATCAAATACGGTGCCAAAACTGGAGGATCCACCCTGACGTTCTTCAAAGTGAGTATTCTATTTGCATACTTTACTCTCCCAATAAATTTGATAAAATGTCTTTTGAATAAGTCGTCAGTAGACAGACATTTACAGGATCATTACAGCACCCGATGTACTTTGTTTAAGTGTAAGAGATTTTTCAATTAAGACTATTATCACACTTTGTACTCTTTAAACTTGACATTCTGAACACTTGCGCGACTAATTCTGAACTCTAATTTACCTAACCGAATCTTCATTTATCTTCATAAACAATAGTTAATGAATTAATTATATAGTCCATTTTATATATGTGAAGTATATTAGTAAGTAATGTATGTCCCCCTTTGTAATAACATTCTTATAGCTTTAATTTCTCATAAGGTATTCCATCATTTCTAATTAAAAATCACCCTAGAATAGCGAAGTAATAATAATCTTTGAATATAGAGTATATTAATCATGCTTATTTAAAGTAGTTTAGATCAGAATATCTTTCCTCACCCAACATTGTTTTATATTTATTAATTTGAATGCCCCTCATTTAAATAATATTAGACTTTCATAACAAACAATTAAATTTGATGTTGCATTTCTTTGTTTACTAAATATTTACGTAGAGATTTCAACTTGAAATTATTTCACTTACTAACTGGCGAACCAAACGTTAGGCAAACGAAACTTGTTGTCATTTCTTTTAATATAGTTTTTTCAAAGAATTCTGCCCATTCCAAGGATTCCAACTACTCGACGTACAAGGAGATGTACGATTACATGAAGGAGAACGAAGATGAGGTCCTCACTCAGGACAACGATTCGGGCTTGAAGAAGGTCCTCATGGAAGACTATGCGTTCCTGATGGAGTCCAGCTCGATAGAATACATCACCGAAAGATATTGCAACGTGACACAAATTGGAGGACTTCTGGATGCAAAGGGTTATGGGATTGCAATGAAAAAAGGTAAGCTTCCTTTTAGGTAAAATTCAATTTATTCAAATTAATTCTGATCAACATAAATAATTACAGATTCACCATATCGTCATGCACTGAACACTGCCGTATTAAAATTGCAACAGAGTGGTTTGATTACAGAATTAAAGACTAAATGGTGGACGCAGAAACGCGGGGGTGGAAAATGTCGAGTATGTATTCGTAAAAATTGGAAGAAAAATTATATATAAACTTAATTTTTATAAAATTAACATTATAATTTATAGGAAGATAGCGGTCAAAGTATGGCAGAGGAGCTGGATCTTGACAACGTGGGTGGTGTTTTTCTGGTATTAACTGTTGGTGTTGCTGTCTCCTTTTTCTATACCATATTCGAACTTCTGTGGGAGATTGGTTGCACATCTGTACGCGAAAATGTAAGAATAATTAAATATGTAATTTCAATCACATCTTGAAATACAATGTCTTAGAACTACTTTAAATTTTAAACCTTAGATCTTACCTTAAATGCTAAAATCCATAGGAAGATCCATTTTAAGTATGTCGTATTCATTTATCAGATTTCCTTCAAAGAAGAACTCATGGCTGAAGTTAAATTCATCGTAAAATGTGGTAGTACGTCAAAACCAGTAAGAAGGAGAAAAGGTTCTTCCAACAGAAGTGGAGAAGATAGTACTCGAGGTTGCACTCCTCCTTATGGTTTTATCCCAGCGATTAGAATACCCAATTCTGAGGATAAATAAATTTATCTATAATGAAATATTTTATTAAAATATAAATACATGTAAATAAATACAATTTGATTAAATTTATAAATGTAATATCTAATATTGTTCTTCTCTTTATTTCTATGGCCACAAATAACATATCAGCAGCGCAGATTAACTGTGACGACTGAAATGTGAAATATGAAGGGCGTGAAGTGTAAGATGAAGTGTGAGATGCGAATTATGACATATAAAAGCGTGAAGCATAAAGTTGGATGCGGCCTATCACGACGCGATTATGAAGTCACGCTATGCATTAAATTTACAAGTCACACAAGACATTTTACATTAACGTTCCATTAGTGGAAATTGCTTACATATTAGTATCAACTTTTTCCGTTCAAAGGTACAATGATAAAATTACATTAAATAATAGTAAATTCAATATTTCTTATATATCAAAAAGAAAAATGGTATGTTAATATTATTATTGGTCAACACATTTAATCTGTGATGTTTTCAAAAGGTAAGAGTGCTTTGATAAAATATATTATAGCTTTTGCAAAACAAGGATTAAATTATATACATTAAATAAATCATAACCAGTAATATCGTATAATAAACATAAAACATGAACCAGCAATTAATTGTAAATATAAAATAACAGAAAACATAAATCGATCGTTAAATCAGTTAAATAAAATATATTATTTGCACTAAATGATAATACTGTATTGAATCAGATCCAAAAAGGAACAGTGAGCGTTGAGACACGTAAAATTTACCGATTTTTCAAATTAAACTATAAAAAGCACGCTTTATTCTTATGTGAAACACGTTCTTAAAAGGAATTTCACGATTGTATTCTGGTTTTTCCGGTTTACCGTATCTGCATCGTCAGTTCCCTCCAATCAGCAAGGAAAAAAATGAGAAAAATGTTATCTGTTCAGAGAGTTAAAATATATTACATCTGTATACGTTGTAAGCGAAACATTCTCCCTTCTTCGATTCCGCCTTAGGTCTAATATTTCGCTAGATCGGGTCGTACCCATCACTATCCCGAACAAGTGAATTTCACGATTTGTTCGTTTTCCGTTCTTATATTTCGCTAGATTCGGTCAAACCCATCACTATTCCGAACAACAGAGTCCCACGATTTGTTCGCTTTCCGTTCTTATATTTCGCTAGATTCGGTCAAACCCATCACTATTCCGAACAAGTAAGTTTCGCGATTTGTTTGTTTTTCGTTCTTATATTTCGCTAGATCCGCTCAAACCCATCACTATTCCGAACAAGTGAGTTTCACGATTTGTTTGTTTTTCGTTCTTATATTTCGCTAGATCCGCTCAAACCCATCACTATTCCGAACAAGTAAGTTTCACGAGTTGTTTGTTTTTCGTTCTTATATTTCGCTAGATTCGGTCAAACCCATCACTATTCCGAACAAGTGAGTTTCACGATTTGTTCGTTTTTCGTTCTTATATTTCGCTAGTTGCTTCGGGGTCCTTGAAACCCCAAGTAGCATAATATCGGTGTCGGCGGTATCTTGGGGTCCTTGACACCCCGGATGGTATAATATTGGTATGCAGAAATACTTAACGGCGTTGTGGGTTCCTAAAGACCCCAATATGATATCAGGGCGGTACGTAGAGACGGTGGCTGGTGCTTCGGGGTCCTTAGCACCCCGGATGGTATAATATAGGTATGCAGAGATAATCACTGGTATTTCGGGTTCCTTAAGACCCCAATATCATATCAGGGCGGTACGTAGAGACTGTGGATGGTGCTTCGGCGTCCTTAGCACCCCGGATGGTATAATATGGGTATGCAGAGATACTCACTGGTATTTTGGGTTCCTTAAGACCCCAATATCATATCAGGGCGGTACGTAAAGACGGCGGCTGGTGCTTCGGGGTCCTTAGCACCCCGGATGGTATAATATAGGTATGCAGAGATACTCACTGGTATTTTGGGTTCCTTAAGACCCCAATATCATATCAGGGCGGTACGTAGAGACTGGATGGTGCTTCGGGGTCCTTAGCACCCCGGATGGTATAATATGGGTATGCAGAGATACTCACTGGTATTTTGGGTTCCTTAAGACCCCAATATTATATCAGGGCGGTACGTAGAGACGGCGGCTGGTGCTTCGGGGTCCTTAGCACCCCGGATGGTATAATATAGGTATGCAGAGATACTCACCGGTGTTTCGGGTTCCTTAAGACCCCAATATGATATCAGGGCGGTACGCAAAGGGCGTTATTGGCGCAGCAAGGTCCCTAACACCCCAGGATGAAATCAGGACCGTATGAAGAGGGCACAACCAGTATAATAATTGTCATTTAATATTTTCCAGAGTTTATTTAGTTTATTTCTTTTATTTTTTTTCGCTTATTAAATAAGCCCATCGAAGGGGAATAACATTTATGATTATATCCATCTTCTACGTCTTAATCGAGGACCCCATTTATTTTTTTTTTTCTAGTTATTTATATAATTTTACCCCCCATTATAGGCCAAGGCCATCTTTGCATCCCTTACATCCCTGCATACCTGAGATTCCAGCAAACCCTTAAACCCCCATTTTTTTTTTTTTTTTTTTTTTAACGTGGTGGAAATCTTCAGAAAGACACCTTCAGCCCCCCTGGGGAGGGGCCGGAGGTAGTGTGGGATTTTTACCCACTAAAACCACCACGGTGGCCTGCACTGGGGCTGTACGGAGGGTCCTTTGACCCTCCGCCCTGTGCCAAACGCCACCAACATCGGGGGCCACACCCGATGCCGACACTCCTGGGGCCGCGTGCAATGGAACCCAGGGCCCCAGCCCAGGACCCCTACGGCATCCTTTACATCCCTCGCTTAGTTAGATCTCTGCACCCCTTACATCACTGCATTCTTTTCATCCCTATACTCTTTTCATCCCTACATTCTTTTCATCCCGACATTACATCCCTACATTCTTTTCAATCCTACATTATTTTCAACCCTATATTATTATTTTCATCCATACATTATTTTCATCCCTTTATTCTTTTCATCCCTACATTCGTTTCATCCCTACTTTCTTTTCATCCCTCCATTCGTTTCATCCCTACATTACATTCATCCCTACATTCCTTTCATCCCTACATTCCTTTCAACCCTTTATTCTTTTCATCCCTACATTCTTTTCATGCCGACATTACATCCCTACATTCTTTTCAATCCTACATTATTTTCATCCCTATATTATTTTCATCCATACATTATTTTCATCCCTTTATTCTTTTCATCCCTACATTCGTTTCATCCCTACATTCTTTTCATCCCTACATTCGTTTCATCCCTATATTCTTTTCATCCCTCCATTCGTTTCATCCCTACATTCGTTTCATCCCTACATTCGTTTCATCCCTACATTCCTTTCATCCCTACATTCCTTTCAACCCTTTATTCTTTTCATCCCTGCATTCGTTTCATCCCTACATTCTTTTCATCCCTACATTCCCTTCAACCCTTTATTCTTTTCATCCCTACATTCCCTACATCTGTACATCCCTTATATTTCTGTATCCCTTACATCCCTACATTCTTGACACATTTGCATCATTTTTAGGCAAAATTGTGCAAAATTTAGTTCCCTTTTTCGCCACCAGAGGGCGCTGATTCGACTTCGAAATTTTAGTTCAAATTTTTGCCGCTAGAGGGCCAAAAATTGAGCATGATTTAGTTCCTTTTTCCAAAACCAGATGGCGCTGATTCGACATCGAAATTTTAGTTCAAATTTTTGCCGCTAGAGGGCCAAAAATTGAGCATGATTTAGTTCCTTTTTCCAAAACCAGATGGCGCTGATTCGACATCGAAATTTTAGTTCAAATTTTTGCCGCTAGAGGGCCAAAAATTGAGCATGATTTAGTTCCTTTTTCCAAAACCAGATGGCGCTGATTCGACATCGAAATTTTAGTTCAAATTTTTGCCGCTAGAGGGCCAAAAATTGAGCATGATTTAGTTCCTTTTTCCAAAACCAGATGGCGCTGATTCGACATCGAAATTTTAGTTCAAATTTTTGCCGCTAGAGGGCCAAAAATTGAGCATGATTTAGTTCCTTTTTCCAAAACCAGATGGCGCTGATTCGACATCGAAATTTTAGTTCGAATTTTTGCCACTAGGGGGCGCTTTTTTTCGAGGTTTTCGCGAAAATCTCGGAAAAAAGCGCCCCCTAGTGGCAAAAATTCGAACTAAAATTTCGATGTCGAATCAGCGCCATCTGGTTTTGGAAAAAGGAACTAAATCATGCTCAATTTTTGGCCCTCTAGCGGCAAAAATTTGAACTAAAATTTCGAAGTCGAATCAGCGCCCTCTGGTGGCGAAAAAGGGAACTAAATTTTGCACAATTTTGCCTAAAAATGATGCAAATGTGTCAAGAATGTAAGGATGTAAGGGATACAGAAATATAAGGGATGTACAGATGTAGGGAATGTAGGGATGAAAAGAATGAAGGGATGAAAGGAATGTAGGGACAAGAAGAATGAAGGGATGAAAGGAATGTAGGGATGAGAAGAATGAAGTGATGAAAGGAATGTAGGGATGAAACGAATGTAGGGATGAAAAGAATGGAGGGATGAAAGTAATGTAGGGATGAAACGAATGAAGGGATGAAACGAATGTAGGGATGAAAAGAATGGAGGGATGAAAGTAATGTAGGGATGAAACGAATGAAGGAATGAAACGAATGTAGGGATGAAAAGAATGGAGGGATGAAAGTAATGTAGGGATGAAACGAATGAAGGGATGAAACGAATGTAGGGATGAAACGAATGTAGGGATGAAACGAATGTAGGGATGAACACAATGTAGGGATGAAGAGAATGTAGGTATGAAAAGGATTACCTTACACGATTCAGATTTTTAATTAAATGATTTAATTAATTAGTTAATTAATTTCTGATGTATATATATGCGTAGCGATTAAAAAGAAAATATATATCATAAATGTGGTTATTGATCAAATTGCAGTCGAACAAGCTGGAAATAAATGTTTCTAATTTACTGCAATGAGAATAACTGACAAAACTTTTGTTTTGCAATGATAAAGTATTTTCTACATGCTATCGAACTCAGAATTACAAAAACGAAGGAAAACAAATAGAATTTCTCTAAAAGGATACTTAGTAAGAACCCAGAAAAGTTGGAAGAACTCGATGTTGTATAGACTTTCACGAGATCAACCTCAACTTTGCAAGTTTTTTGAAAATTTTAACAAGAGTCTATCTGTTCGAGATATCGATAAGAGTTCTTCTTACTTCTTAAAAGTTCGCTTTCTAAAAGTACACTTATCTGTGTTTAATTAACGTACACATCCTTGGGCTTCTGGATCTTTTTCTTAATTGGAAGTACATGTATCCTGTAACGTACAAAACCTATACCTCCGCATTGAGAGTCCATGGTGGAGTACTCGAGACACGGTTTACAATGAAACATACTCCCTTCATCGATGTCGGAAGTCCTCTGAAATGGTTAACTGAAGTCGTTGATGAGCAAGGCTTTGGCGAAGCAGAAGAGTTTCAACAAAGACAAAAGAGAATTGATCGATCAATTCTGAAGTAAATACACCCAAAGGTTGGTATTTTGAACGTACATAATTATATCTAAATATACCAACCTTAAAGTCCCTAAAATTTTTAATCATTAATTCACTAAATTATTTCATGTCAGCCAAAAACTTGTTGCATCCATTGTCGGAGACCGTGAAACCCAGACCTAGATCAACGAGATACGAAACAAAAGCGTACGACCTACCCATAGAATTCAATCTTTCAAGCCCGGTGTTGTCCCTCGGCGCTGAATAATTCAAAGCTCACGCGAAGAAAAAAGAAACCCTCCGATGCTCGGGGAGACGTTTCAACCGGCTGAAAGAGCCCCACGAGAAAGCAGCAAGGACAGAAGGCCTGCGATACACATGCACGGCTATTCAAGAAGCGGCGAAAGGTCAGCTGCAACGACACTTTGAAATAAAAAAGAAAAAACAGAGGATCGTCCACGATTCCTTGCCGAACGTATTCCCGATCGGTCTACATTCCTTGCTTTGCTGCTCTGGGTGCATTTAATGCCCTCAGTTTACGAGGTTGCGGCCGAACCGATGACACAGACGCTCAGGAATCCTGAGTCGGCGAGGGACGGCGACTGTGTACCACTGGCCGTGTCGGCCCACCTTTATAGACGCACCTTCAAGGCGCCTATTCAAAGGCACCATTCGAGATCCACATTGCGGGTGGGGATGCTGCGTGCCGGTCGCGAGGTAGTATTAAAAGGCCATTAAACGGCACGACATGACATATGGCTTTGTGCGTATAAGCGCGACCCTTGCCGATTCTACACGCCGGCGAACCAAGCTGACTCCTTGTTCGACGATAAAATCAAATGAAACCCGACTGTCAAAAGTAGCGACTCGTCTAACAATCGCTTTAAGATCTGTCTAAAAGCGAAGCCCGCGAAAGGTGTTCTAAGTTCCCAAAATTTCTCGCTGTTTCAAATACCATAAGTCTTTAAAATTTGCGAGAAACAATTTCGAATGACCATGATTACCCTAGGAATATTGGCATTAATTTCAAGCTGTTTATAACATCCGATGAGCGAGAAATTTTGAGAGTTCGCAATTATCCTGGCGCGCTAAACAGAGCGCAAAAGAAAAAACTGAACAGTTCAATGAGTCATCGAACGCTCGATCGGTCAGGTTAATGGCTTGAATACCTGGATCCTCCTCTCGGTCCACCGTTGAATCGATATCAGATAACTGGACCTGCGGTTCGTAGGCACCGGAGCCTGTTCACTTTTTTGTTGCTCTAATTAGCGGAAGCATTAATGTTCGCGCGATTGATCGAATTCTTTACTGTTTCTTCCTTTTATTTTACGAAACAGATGTTTCAATGAATCGGGGTATTTCTGTGCCTCCTTCTAGGAACGCGTTTATCCAAGTCGAATGTTGAGAACGAACTGATCTCCACTCGTATAAACACTATATTATATGATAGCGAAAAAAGAATTGTATTTTCAACTATTACTGGATCTAAATAAAATTATTTTTAATTATATGTACTGTTTCTTTACTTAAAATATACCCAGTCCAATTTTCCATGAACCCATTACTCGCAAAATGATACATTTCGTCGCTTAATCGTTTAAACCCTCCTCTCGGCTCGGAAACGTTGACTGATTTTCAAGCGTACCGTTCGCGATTCATTCGTCATTGTTGTCGGGTAACCAGGCCACTGGAAGTGAAATTAGCGAAATAGTCGGCTCACCGGGGGTGAAAATTAAGAAAGATTTACGAGTTACTCTCAGCGGCGAGCTGGCAGCAATGTTCCAGCACGCAAAGCCGGAATGTCACAACTGAGATACAGATATCCGGCTCGGTCGCGTCTCCTTTTAGCAAGCGCGTATCTCGTTTGCATCGAGGACGCAACGGGTATATTCAGATTATCCGATTCTTTATTGTCCGCTTATTTTAGATCGTCGTCTCGTGTTCCAAGCGGAATGTTGCCCGTTCGAAACGAGCATCATCGTCTCTCGAAAACTCATCGCGTTAAGCGTCTGAATTTACTGGGTTATACTACTGAGTTTCGAGGAAACCGAACACGGTGGAAAGTTGGTCGATGGGCGGAAGAGGAACGAAAAGAATGGAGGAGAACGTAGTAAAAGGAGAATTAACGTGCTCGTAAAGCTACTCGTGCGGTAGAATTGAATATTAGAGCTTTATTAGCGTAATGGTGTAGACGACATCGCGAAACACGATCGCCTCCTCGGGTAAGGCTCGTCGCGTTTTACTGCCCTTGATATTTTTCTGACGAAGAACGTTGTTACCAGCGCCGACGATTGTGTCATAAAATCATAACACCGTCTATGATACTAGGGAATGTTAGCGAAGAACATACTGAGCTACCAGAGAAAACCTGATACGTCGCGAATGTTGAAAATTGTATATTCCTAAGGTGTACTTAGATTTTATTACTTACGACAATTTTACAGAGGGCTATGATTATGGCGAACCTTGCAATGCCATAAATGGAAAAATTAAATCGCCATTGCTTGTTACCGTGTTTTTATTGCTTCGTGGACCTCGAAACACTATAGTCACCTGTGTAGAGAAGGGTAAATTCGCAAGAGTTGTAAAATAATTTCAAAATTCCTTTAATTTATTAGTTAAACAATTTTTTAAAGTTAGAAAATATAAACACCTTCTACACGTTCCTCGTCTCAGAATTCCAGGACAGTGTTCCACTTGTCTCCATGTGCAAACCTGAAACAAAAATAAAAAATTGCTGTAATAAATGTTCTAATGATTATTAGAGATCCTCTGATTACAGATCTCAAATGCAACTGAATAAAAATAAAATGATGAATAATCACGAAAGAAGATGTAAATTTGAAACGTGAATAATTTAATGTCAAGCCTATTTACGACTAGAATGATAATTCCCGAGATACAGAGAAATCTCATTGAAATTGTAATTCCTGTCAATTACAACGACCGCAAACATAAGGGGGAATAATCCAAGATTGAGATGAGCGCAATAACGAGCGACTGAAAAATCTGACTGTCCTGGACACCAGGATTCACAGGTGATTTATACTCGCACAAAGCATCCGTAATGAATTTAAATCTTATCTCTCGCAGCTCTCGTGACTTCAATTTATTCGCGCACGCAGAATCGCGCGAGCGGAACCAGTCTTTTTTTTGTCCCCGTTAAAGCACGATACAAAAATTAATACACATTATATTTCACCGAGTTAACAACGTTACATGCTCGCCCCGTAACCACCTTCTCGTCTCCTTTTTATTCTTACTTTTTCGAGGAAGCTTTAACAAGTTAACACGTTCGTCGCGGCACTTCTTCGGCTTTGATCTTATTAATGCTAATATTATTTTTACTTATTCCATCAACCCAGCAAGTGTCCACGACCCTCGATCCACTGATCCGAAGAAAACATCCTGAATAGTTTGCTTAATGAGGGACGTTTTGCATAAGAAGGCTCCGAGTTACTCGGATCCTCTGCTCTCCTGGCAGGTTCGTCCTAATAACTCCTCGCAAACAGGAGATTCAAGAAGAAAAAAAAAGGAGGAAAGACTCTGAAGATGCCAAGGCTACTTCGCAAAACAATTAAACACTGATTGCAATTTTATTTACAAATAGAAGATATTGAAAATCATTTATTTTATATGATCTACGAGATAAAGGAGCTACATTTTAGACCACGAAGACGTAACTGAAGACTTAATAAGAATAGCAACGACTTCCTGACAGGCACTGTCCATTTTCTAGTGGTTAAAGGAGTTAAACGTTATGACGAACAACAAATTGAAGCGAGCAAAGCGGAGACAGGGAAAGAGGGACGAGAAGCAAGAGAAATCTGGAAGGTTGAAAGAAGATTAAGTGGCGTGGAACGCGGACAATGCGATGTTCGTCGCATAGCCACGAGCGTATCCTGTCGCGTTGTCGCGAATGTCGCGTTACGCCGTTGAACTGTATAAATTGATCGCGTGAAAAATAAGTCCGACGAGATTTCCTCTTGCACCGTCACCCTACCGGAATTCATCTATAACTCGTGCGTGACAGTCCACGGTGTACACATTCCGAACATGATGCATCGATGGAATAGAAAAACGATTATTCATTTTCTCGTGCATTCATCTCCTGGAATCCACCAAACGAAACTGACAAACTTCTCTTTCAATTATTTCAATGAACCCATCGAAATTGCATATTTTCCGAATAAATTAATTTCAACAAGTTTTTGACAAGCACGTTTCAAACTTTACATTTCACGATCAGCCAGTTAACGGTACTCACCCACGCGCGATTTAAAGCGAGAACTCGCGGCGATGAGATGCATGGAACATTGGAGCATGACGGATCGCGTAAGTTGACTCGCAAACGTTCGCAAAGCGAGTGTATGTAAATCCTGCCCGTCGGGGATCGGGTCGATCGTGGCCGATCCAAACAAGTTGCGAAAACTAGCGTTACCGCGGGCACTGGCAAAGAGATAAATATATTGTAGTATTTCGCTCGATTCCCAACGGTTGTTGAGAGCGTTGAAAAAGTACGATCCCACGTGTGGATCTTCTGGGATTAGGTATACAACCACCCGGGGCAACGAGAAACCTGTAATGTACAGAAGAGGATGATTACGTGTCGACGAGTATTTCATGGTTTTTGCGAGCATAGCCGAAAGCATTCCTCGAGATCATTCATTTCCAGATGAGAAAAATCATTTTTCCTTTCTTCGCGATTCTGCGAAAGAGATCTAATTTCGTGAGTGAAACAACGAAAGCTCCTCTATTCGAAAATCGATGCCACGTGTAATCCTCTTTCGACAAAGTTTCTCGCAACTCAGCAAGATCGAGGTAAGCCGAACGTTTTCGTTCGTCGATCAGCTAGAATCTGCTTCGACGTTGGATCTGTCGGCCGGGCGCGTCATTTCCGTAATGTAATTCCCAATAAACAAAGTTTCTCGAGGGAAAACTTGGCCGTTCGTTACGTCGAAGCGACACGGACGCGCGGCTTCCAACGACTGGCAGACACGAAAGCGCGGGACGAGGCTCTCGATTGCTCGAATGCCTCGAACGAAATTGAAGCCATCGCGGATCGCGTTGCGATCTCGTTTAAATCATCCACGATGCCGGAAGCGCGATGAAATTATTATTCGACGATGAAAAATTATAAAAATGAATTTATGATCTGGAGCAATTAAATTTTGATACAAAAAATATTCTAAAATCTGTCTCCTGGGAATTTAAAATGAACTTCCGGTTACCATTATCGTGCAAAGGGTTAAGCCTGACTGTGCTAAAACGTTTTCATGCGAACCATAAAACCTAACCGGGAGAAAGTTCGACACGTGGGTTGGTGGAAAAGGGACCGCGGTCGAGTCGAATGTTTTCTCGGAAGGTACAAGCCAGTAGATTATCCCTGTCCGCGGCAGCCGAGGGACGGTAGTCATGGACCCAGACCGGCGAGATAAGGCACCCGTAATTGACCATAACTCAAGGAAATGAAGCGGCGAACGGTACCCAGCATCTATATTCCGTCGTAGCTCGAACGTTAAGCGAGTTAACCTTCGGCCTGGATGCACCGACCTCGATGCAGAATCCGTTCTGACTCGCGATATCTCCACGGTTGCTCGGACTTTTCAAGAACCGCGCATCGAGTACATGGACTATGATCACGATTCCCCCGTTCCGGGGAACGTTGGACCAGCGACCCCCGAGGTCGTAATTTAGATCCTGAAGAAGCGACAGTGGGTGATAATGCGTTTTGTTTTAACACCTTGAATTCCGTGCGGTATTTTTAATTAGGAAACTGACAGAATTTCTAATAATAGAGGTGATGGATTCCTGTAGAAATTCGAGGGTACCGAATTCATTTCTGAAGGATTCTAAGTGGCGACTATACCTTGAAATCCTGAGACAGAATTATGGCGTTCCTCTTTTTTATATTCGACAGATGGTTACTTATGGTGACAGCAGGATTGCTGGAGTAATAGTTCTTCCAGCAGGAAGAATGCTTGCGAGGTTAATTACGACAGGGTAATTGGGGGAAGAAGAGTTTATTGCGGCAGGTCCATGCGTTTTCTTAGTCGAAGGGTACAAGTGCAGTTCAAGATTATTGATCGAATAAAATTGAAGATGAAACTATTAATTTTTAAATTTCTGTAATGTATTATTATGTATTCCAAATTTAAATAAAATTTTTCTAAAGCAGTTGGAATGGCTATATTTCTAATGGCATTCGCGTTTACCGAACTCCTGTAATATCTCGTCTGTGAGAGATAAAGTTGTTGACTGAGATTTGCGCGCGTTTTCTTCTAGCAGTTTGCCGACAAAAGACGCATAAATATGTTCCTATCGATGAATGCCTCGGCGAAAGTGTTCGAATAGAGATTGCGTGTAATCTATGGGGTAACGGGAGAGACGCAACCGCTATCGAAAACGTCTCTATTCAAGGATTTCCATTCGACAAACCCCGTGGAAGTATCATCTTCAAGAGATATGGCTGTCGAAAATAAATCTGGGCCATATTTTGAACGTGGTATCTAAAATATCAATCTCTTCTAGAAAGAAGATGTCAGAAAAAATGATATCCGACGATTAAAATTCCTGGACTATAATCTGTTCAATCATTTTTTTTTTTATGTTCAAATTCAACGAAACGTTTGCAATAAAAAATTCTGGCTCAATTTTTATTCACATCAGCTGAAAATAACCTTGTACAGACTTTGGAACGTGAAGTGTTCACGATAAAAGGCGTCGAACAAGTTGGCCGCATAATGACCCAGTCCTGTAAGCAATAAAATCACACGGTCGACCGTGAAACTTGGCCAAATTAATACCGTGATAAATTACATGCTTCTTTAAGCTTCCATTCGAGCCACGGCATCTTTATTCGAGAATGTTTATTTTTGCAAGCGAAATTCTCGATTAACATGTTCGCCTCCACAGTAGAAATATCAACGTATAGCGCGACACAAGGAAAACATAAATTATTAATATAATCCAGAATTATATTTTCTCAATTACAACTGACTCTATTAATATTAAATTATTAATACTTCTGTACGAAATACTTTTGCACAAATTAATCACGTTACCGTTCGTCCTTCGTCGAAGTTACAGAACTGGTTCGACAGTAGTCGAGAATGAAATCAACGATGATTAATATCGGTCGTAGTCGTTAGCGGCTTGCACTGACCGGATGTAATGCATAACCTGAAATCGTATAATAAATGTAGATATTTCCGATTACAAATTGAAACATCCGGCGACAGGTATCGCGAAGTGGGTCCTGCCAAGCAGTGTTCTTGGCTGCGGAGAGATTGATTTATCGAATGCAGCAACCACCAAGGGACAAAGTAAACCGGTTTCGTGGACGAATCAGAAGCTAAAGTATTCTATATAAAAATTGCAATTCGTCCATTTTGGGATCAAAATCTACCATTTAGAATTTTTAAAATTTTCCTCAAAGACTTCTCTTCGATTTCTTTGATCTTTCATCTATTAATTATTAAAGGATAAGCTTTTGAACCTTCCTGTACCTTCAAGCAGCAATTAATTACCAGCAGGTGGAAACATATGCTAATGGGCGAGCCGATAGCGAACGCGATTAATGGACAAGTGGAGAATCCAAATTGGGAATCATCAACGCGTAGAAGATTCGAAGAAGTGTCTGTTCCTCAGCTGATTTTACGACGTCGATCGTTTCTAACCCCTCTTATTTTCCACCTTCTCCGCGCATTCCACGTTAATTGCAAAACGCGACTGCGTTTCCGATGTTGTAAAGCGAATTGGAGCCCGCTCGAACCGGCGTTGGTCAGCGAGCTTAGAAAGCGACTAGATCTTAGGATTCGCAGGTCGTGGGAAACGTTCACCTCCGCTCGCGTACGATTCGCTCGGTTCGTAATCACCGCCAGTCCCATCTAGCCAGTCCCGTCGATCTTATCTCGCTTGGATTATCAAGTCGTCTGGCGCGGCTGTCGGCCAGATCGAACCATCTCCGTAAGTCACGGGGAAAAATGTTAAATTGATTCCTAGGACGGTGGCCTGCACGCTGATGCGGCTCTGATACCTTTCCCCGAACCGATCGCGCTTGTAATTACGCTTTTTATGACCGATCGGTGCCGGCTCGACGGAATAGGAGATACTAGAGACTGCCAGGAGGAGACGTGCTTATTTTATAATCAACCTGGCGTTCATTAGTTTCAAACAGAATGTAGTCAGATATTATTGAACGGATTGGAAAATTTTGTTGAGCAATAAAATAAAAATTTATTGTATTGTAACGTGTTTATGAATCACCCTATATGTGTACTAATGCACCAGAGGTAACATAATATATAGAACCCTAAGTGTTGGGATAATACACGGGAATCACTTAGAAACAATAAGAAATAAAAAGTTCGTAGCAACATGTTTCCAAGTTATAGCGAGTTTAGTGTTCCATTAATTCGCCATGAAATTGAAGAAGGCTTCCGATCCGCTAATCGGATTAACACCTGCGTGTATCGAAACGACAAGATCGGCGATAAGACGCTTACACCCTTGTATCGAGCTGGTCAATGTATAAGCACCTGTTATGAAAATAAATGATCACAAGCTTGCATGAAACAAAACCAGCTTATAATCCCCGAAACAAGTCCTAATGTTACATATATTCACACGAATTGCATTTTTATTATTTTTGATTATGGAATGCATTTCCTGAATCGAGGTTCATATTAAATTGCATAAATAGAGAATATGAATCCATGTCTCTTGACATATAAATAGGAAACGTGAAATATCTCGTCAAAGAGAACAGATAAAATAAATTCTTATTTACAAAAATCATACAGACTTGAGTATACTTTGAATTTCGTCTGAGATAATTTTTTGTAAAAATCACGGAGGGTCTAAAAATTAAATGACGACACTCGGTACACCGTGTATAAGGATCGTAGCAGAGGATTAATGAAAAACGATCACGAGGCGTAAGGTAACCGCTGGCTCGGCAGCGAGCGTTCCCAAGCCGCGGAACGAAAACAGGGGAAATATTATATTGTAACGGTCGATTTATTAGGTGGCTCTGATTTATGATAATTCTCTCGATAAATATCGTACCATTAATCGTGCCGATTTATTTTTCAATTATACTGACCGTTTGCTGGAAACTACGCGATCGCGAGGAACGCACGAGCTCGCCATTACGTACAGCTCTCGCCCTCGTGCAGGGCTGAACGCCCGTCCCGCTGCGCTCGCCGCAAATTTCCCTGGATACCAAGCCCCTCGTAATAATATACAATTAAACGAAATTAGGTACCGCGTTACAATAAGCTTGCCTTTTCATTTACGAGTGCCGCTACCGCGCCGCTAGAAAAGAATCAAACTGGCCAACCGCGTTTACAGCCGGTTTCGTTGAAACACGAATTCGCTCGTTGCGGTCAGAGATACTGTTTCCACCAGAAAGTGTCTTTCGCGGTTTTTCCTCTCGAAATTGACTTCCTGTTCCCGTGGAAGTTTCTAGAGATGCACTGAACGAAAAAAAAAATAAAATAAAATAAAAATATAGACGGATGCAATATTAGTCATAAATATGCAAAATTAGAAAAGAGGGTTTTGTTAAATGGAATCGCTGACGCTCTATTTTACACGAAATTTCAGACGACGGAAATACAGGTGAATTTACGGTCCAAGTGTCAAGAGATAAATCATCGATGCAATGGAGGGAGCTCCACGTAATTGGTTTTACCTATTAACAATTGCATTCGAGTGTGATCAGATCGAAATGCACTTTTCGCAAGATTGAAAATATTTTTGGCTCGACTTTGAATTATTTGCAATTTTTCTATAATAAATAAAATTTCATGGTATTTACTATATCTGAACCGTAAAGTGAACCAAGAGTATCAAGTCTTCAATAATTACCTATTCGTTCTATCCTCCTCCACCCGTCTCGACGACAATTCCTCCCTGGACCCGCGAAGGTAACCCAGAAGATGGAAGGACTGAAGATGTCCTTGCCCCTCGGACCTCTCTTCGTCTTGGTGGAGATTCGAGAAAGAATCTTCTCGAGGACGACGATGGGAAGAAGAGCGGCAAGAAGGCCGTAGGAGCGTGTCGTCGAGCGATTCCACGCGATAACGTCGTTCCGGTTCTCGAAACCGGCGCGCCGGTTCGCGCGTGAAAGAACACGTTTGCGGGACGACAATAAAATATTAGGCTGTGAGGTCCGCTCGTATATACGGCGAGCGGCAATCTTTCCTAGAAAATTAAATGCGATGTTTTGCTCAATCGGACGTCCCGCAGAGTATTCTCACGGGTCTGGCACGAGCTTAGAATACATTGAGGGTTTGCAAGCCATTAAACAAGTGGCTCAAAATTTCCATAATTTCTGATTCATTTGGATAGGTGAAAATTGATTCTGAATGGATTTTAAAACATTCTCCATTGTCTTGATAAGGAGTGACTGAACATAGGGGATGATTAAAGGGTGACTGTGAATTATCTAACGGGTGATTTTTTACATTTCACAGTTGTAAATTAGACTCAAGAGATATAACACAAGGTGATAAAAGAATAATGAAAATACCTAGAGTTTCTATTAATTAAAAGCGCCTTAATTATAAAGTGGAAATTTCACTTCCTGAATCAGATAAATTTCACAAGGAAAATCTACAATTTTTATAACCCATCTTTAAAAATAAAATAAAGAAGGTTAAATTGTCTTGATTTAAAGATGTACTTTTACCGTGCTTTGTAATAGCTCATTCTATCCGGTTCGTCTGAAATGAGACCAGAGGCTTTGGCCGAAGGTGGAACATTTCCTGCCGCACCTTTTTCTTCGGTAAAGCCACACTCGTTGTTTAAAGAGAATAGTATTTGCTTTACGTAGCGCTCATTACCTGCGCTCGAGGCTGGCTAATGTAAATTAACGAAGAAGCTGAGGTTCTGAGCTCCATTTGAATCCGGAGAAAAGAAGTAACTTCTCGTTTCTTTTTACTTGGAAAGCATAAAATTTGAAATTTAAAATCTTTTCATGCTAACCTCGAGAAATTTCGCTCTACCTCGATGTTACACTTAACAAATATACCTCGATTATTTGAAGACCCTTGAAAAAATGATTTCCATGATCCTCGGCACAAAATAACTTCAAGGACTCACGACGATTACCGAGCCCCGTACCTCGGCCATATTGAACCGCACGTTTCTTCGCAATCAATAAACATCATCACCCATTAAATCCATTCATAAACTCATCAGACGATGATCCACGATGCAGTGGAAGAAGCTTCTTGGGACGTTCAAAGGTATCTTTATCAAGCAATTCCGAAAGGGGAAACCTTGGACGTGACGCAAATAAAAGTATCCCGACGATCTTGGTCGTTGGCGATTAACGTTACATCGAAGGTACAAGTAATAGATACTTGCAAGCATTCACGGCCATCATCGTCCACGCAATTCACTCATGATAATGGCCGTTTCCGATGCGCGCTATTCAGATCATTCGTAAGAGAAACTCCGTGCCTCGTTAAAGGGCGCGCGATGTAAATCAATCGGAATGCGAAGCGATCCATGACGAAGCAAAGGATTAATAACCAATTAGAACGTCAGTTGCGACTACCAGAGATTCTATTCGGTCGACATATTAAATTACGCTTTTTTCTTTATACTCACCCAGGCATCACCGCCGGCTACTAATTACACGACATCCATTCGATAGCTGTATCAATCGGTTCGCCTTGTTTCGAAATGGGAAAATCGTTTCGAGGAGGTACTACTGCTCGGCGATCTTGTGTTTAATTGGACAGTAAACGTGTTCGAAGCGTACGCGAACTGATTGTGTGTTAATTTCACCGTTTGTAGCCTGAACGTAAACGTTGTCAGCGAGACGGGACCTGTGGTTCGGCGAACGGTTTATCGCTTTCAATGGTCGGATCGAAAGGGGTAATCGTTCGATAGTTGATCACCGTTTGAATTTCTCTAATTACACCGGAATAGCTCTGGGGAACCTTTATTACCACGCTCTTTTATTATCCAATTAGTCTATTATTCGAGTGTTCTGTTGTCTTTTCTGCTTCGCTCTTATTTCCTTATGCTAATTGGCCGTCATTACCGCGATCATTAGCGGTTGGTCATTCACCTCAACCTCGCCTAATAACTATTTAATGCGAACATAGGTTGATTACAAAATCCTCTTATTTATAACTTTACCATGCGTGTATTCATTCTAATTTTCTTTTTTTTTTTTCCTTCCTTCAATCAGCATGTTTTAAATAGTTGCCCTCGCATTATCATACTTCACCATTTATCCGCTTCTTTCGCCGGGGTACAAACGGAATTCTCGCGGAGATGCCTATCTCTGGTTCTCTGGTTTGAAGTGTGCGAGCAACACGGCTCGGTAAATCGCACGGCGCGACGTTTCGCGCCTTCGCGAACAGCAGGAACAGCCGTTTATGTGCCGTTAAACGTCACCTGGACGAGCAAAATCCTCGTCGACGATGGATACACGCGTACAACCACGGCGGAAGTGACCGGGCACCGTGACTTCTTATCCAGCATCTCGAACGATGCTAACTGTTCATTTGTCGACGCTCCGGCCACGTGATAAGGAACGCGGCAATCCATCGACCTACTCGCAAGAACGATAACTACCACTTCCGTCACTGCGAAACTAACTCCCGCGGCTGTCTTTGATATTTTTCGAGACTCGTTATCGTTGTTCTGTCACACGGTCTTGTAACGAGATCTCTCGGTAAATGGATGAACATCGGCGCTGATGTAGGTACAAGATGAGAGACTTGGATCCTTTTTTTTGAGGTGAAAAGGGTAATTGAGGAACTTGTTCCCTGGGTACACGGTTATCGTGAACGATGCTTAAACGAGGTTTATAATTGCGCGGAACATTATGGTTGAAACATTTTGGAAGATTGAAAAATTTAGAGGATTAAAATAATATTATAAAATTGGGGCCCTCTCCATGGTCCGCCATCCGAGTTACTAATACTATACGTCAGATTGCTTTAACTTTTCACTCTCGTGTAATCGAATTAATGTATCAGCAATTAGAATGAGAATTACCTGATTAATTGAATTCCAGCAAGGCGCAAAAGCCACGTCAGAAATAAAGAATGTAGCTATGTAAGTATTTTCGAACGATCAGTGGTAAGAACTTGTTTCGAAGAACCAGTATACTTTAAACTAGTACTCATTAGTAATACATCAAGAGAAGAAACACATGCAAAACGTGTAGCGAGTAAACTGTACAAGATCGTAAATTTACTACCGTTCTTATCAGTTACCGGATCCAGCTAACTTTCTTCAACAACAGACTGCGTTTTCGTCTAACAGCCTGAGAGGAAGATCAATTAAACACAATGAACCAGCAGAAAATGTTAGATAAGTGATAAGATTAGTCTCTCGTTGATCAGCTGAGAAGTTCAACCCGTTAAGTTTGCATCAGGAAGACTGATCGCTCTCAGGCCATCTCATAACGATTTAACGACGGTGAACGTGACGTGGAAGAAGGAAGTCGCCTCTCTGAAGCGTTCCCTCGCTCTGAGTGATACTGTTAAGTTTGAAAATCAACAGGGAGAAATAGTCTAATCGTCTAACGGTGACACGTAACGGTGGACATAAATTTCCGACATCCTACGCTCCATCTCGTCTGACCATTTGACCGTTACGCCTAAGTGTTGTGCTGCTAACTTTTACGATTCACGTCTCCTACGCGCAAAACGAGAGATCTAAATTTTCAAGAAGAAAATAGAAGAAAATAAATTTTTTAAATCAAAGACAAATTTTACAAATTATTATTAATCTTCTATTCGTGCTTTCTGCGGATGAAAAAGGAAAAAAAAATGTCAAGTTGAACACGGTATACTTTCCCATCGTACAGGGTTGAAAAACAACCCCCGAGCAACGAAGCCATGCATCAAACATGGCATGTACGTATGTGGTAGTCAACGAGCCGCAACGAAGATTACCAAAAGCGATATACCAACGACAATGCTCGCTATCTTTTCGTCATCGATCCCGTGGAAGACACGAGACAACCGTAGGCGTTGATTGAGTGCACGCGAGTGCACGGCTGCTCGGAAGTCTCGTTTTTCCGTCCACAACTCCGAATGCCAGAAGCGGACGCCACGCGGACAAGAAATGCTTCGGTAGCAGTGTTCCTCTACTTGACACGGTGTATTCCACGGGTGGTTCCATGCTGTTCGCCTACTAACGATACAATCAACCTATCCTCGAACCCGAGGAGTTATTATCATAATAAACGGTCGCTTCGGTTAATTGACTTCTACCCGACGATTAACGACTTTCATGAATTTTATTACCCAATAATAACTCGACGACCAACATCGACCGTTCAAGATTTACCGCTATATCTAATCGATGTCCTCTCGATGGAATTCGCGAACCGATCTTGCACACTGTGTATATAAACACACACGATGCTAATAGGCTTCCCCTCATTATAAATTACGGAAAAGGTTAAATTTACCTAGAGTGTAATTGAGTAGTAAAAACTGATGCTGGTAGTTAATTGCAAGCATCTCCGAGGGAACAGTGGTTTTAAAAATATAAATTACGACGAGCATTCGACCTGTACGCGGTGTCGAATAAATTATCAATCAGGCAACCGGTGCTTTTCTCGTAACGGTTCTACCTGGTTTTTTATTCGTCTAGGATATTCGCTGCTGGTCTTACGACGCTAGATTGATTACAGTTTCTGATGCGACGGGAATAATTAAGCAGAAGCGTTAAATTGTACGAGAAATGGTCTTCGGATGGATATTATTTTGTTACCAGTTGCAGTGGAAAAAGACACACGCTGTGTGGCATATTTTTCAAAAAATTATTAATCTATTATAGAAGTAATCAAAATGTTTAATTTATCGGAAATAATACTTACGGATGATAGTATAGAATTATTTACGAGGTCGATGGTCGTTCATGTATCGCACGACAAAGATCAAGTCCATAGAAAGAAAATATCCCGGTACCGTTCTAACGATCACAGCAGGACTCTGTGCGTGCACAGAGACGAATCGAAGTGTGTGACACCGCACGCGGATGAGTGTCATTATCTGCGGTAGGTGTCCATCGTGACGCGAGGTAACCAGGTGTCAATGATCGTGCTAGAATGAAATTACGAGCCACGGTTCCGATGGCTGCACTCGCTGCACACCGTTGAAATTAAACGGTAAACGGGATGTTACTCGCGACGAATCGCGGCGTTTATTGGTTTTTCGATTTTA